CATATGGACGTTCAAACCACATCACATTCATGTTTAAATTGATTGTCAGTTGAAGATAGACTCTAGTATTTCACAATGATTCTAGTACTCAAAATTGTAAATGATATTGCACCTGATGAATACTTCAATCAATTCATCAACCTGAATAAAGACATTCATACGTAAAACAATGAATTACCTGAAGTATTAAAAGAATTATCTAATTCGGAAAATTTCCTAACAGCACTGGAAGAATTTGTAAAAAAGAAATAAAAATAAGTTGAAGAATTGTAATAGTCATAGAAACTCGAATGGCCCAACACTTGTTCCAATCACTACAGAACTTCCCCCTGCGTCTGATAATTTACTGAATCTGATCAGCTGTGGTTGTGAAAATGGATGTGAACATTGGTGCGAGTGTAGAAAAGCATCGGGTTTTATGTGTTCGGCAATGTTTTGCCATTGTGTTGGCCATAATCGTGTGAAAATTACATGCTGATGATATGGATTTAATTTAACTGACCAAAGATTTGTATTTTTTCCTGTCTAATAAATATTTTCAGATCTATTTTATATGCACTATGATGCAAATGTATGGAATAAATTCATTTCAAAATAAGACGACTTTCGAAAACAATCCAAAAACTAGAGTTTAGAACTCCTTTAATTGATGTATTTTTTAACTAGACAACTCTTCGTTGTTTCATTTTCAGTAGCAGACCACTGCAAAATTTATTTAATCAAATGATAATCTATTTTGATTTCAATCTTCTTATGCAAAATTTTGACTGTTGAATAGACGATCAGTAGACCTTTCAAACGAGGTGTCACATGACCCCTGTTTGTATTTGAAAAAATCGTCCATTACGTCATTACTCCAACACAGGTGACGTAACATCTTCCATATGGATATCATGAAATGAGGCTTCAAAAATCAAAACTCACGCGTTTTTGATTTTTTTTCAAATGTTGCCCATTTCTGAATTGATGAATTTATTCCATTCATTTGCATCATACTGTATATTCTTAATATTTGAAGTTCCTTTAGGAAGATAATATATAATATGTACAAATTGATCATTATTTTTTTACACCCTGTATACTGTATATATTATGAGCTTGGGGAGTTACGACTAGTTGTTAATTATCGAATACATCGTCAGTATACCAAATTTCAGCTAGTTTTGAAGGATTTTATGTATTTGGTCAATTTTAATCTAATAATTCTGAGCTATATTTATAATAAGTATGATTGTGTGTCTGAGGAAGTCATAAAACTGTGAGATATTTATCAATGCTTGCAGGATATTTGGTCAGAACATTTCGTTACCAAACTTTGATTTTGAAATTATGACACTGTATAGAAGACGTTTCGTTACCTGATGACAATGAAACTTCATAGAATATGTGATAATTAATATCGTTGGAAAGTTAATGTTAATTTGATTGATCAATGCATAATATTAAATATCAGGCCGGATTTTTCACAGGGTTTGGACTTTGGTAAAAATTTCTCAATAATTATATTATTTTGAATATCACACTCTCATACAATATACAGGGTGTTACATAATTCAATACAAATATTTTAATGACATATTCCTGGGGTCAAAATAAGACTTCTTTTTCCTATAAACATGTGTCCTAAAATCCACCCCTTCCAAGCTACAGACATCGCAAGATAAACTGTTTAACAAACGTGAAAGTTACAAGTGAATCAGTGCTGTTTCACAAATTAAACGTCAAAAGCGTCAATAGGGGAAACAAAGTGAAAAGTCATAGCCCTCTAGGTATTTTTGTTTGTTACTTCAATACACCCCTTTCATTTACTAGCGATTTTCTCTAAAACGGTTAGCTAATTCAAGAAAATGCAAGAGACTGAAATGTATGATTCTTTAGTGGCCAAATCAACGATGATGTTTGAATTCAAATTTTTTTGGAATAAATAGAAAATGTTTGCCATCAAATCTGTATGCAACCCTCATTCACCCCTTTCGATTCGAGTTACCCTATTTTTGAATCAAGAAATGAATAGATCGTCTAAAAATACAAGTGCCTGTGAATTTTTGAAAATATTTGATGCATAATTGTAGCCACAATTCAAAATTTAAGATTTTTTTTGCGCATCTTGCGATGTCTGTAGCTTGGAGGGGGTGGATTTTAGGACACATGTTTATAGGAAAAAAAAGTCTTATATTGACCCCAGGAATATGTCATTAAAATATTTGTATTGAATTTGTATAACAAGGACATATTATACTATATTGTCAAGTATAGGGTTCTTTGAAGAGCTATACAGGGCCTTGAAATATTAGGGCGACATGACTATAGGTACATCTTTCACTTTCTCACTTGGAATTGGTGCCTATAAACACTTATAATACAGTATGATGCAAATGTATGGAATAAATTCATTTCAAAACAAGACGACTTCCGAAAAAAATCCAAAAACTAGACTTCAGAACTTCATCAATTGATGTATTTTTTTAAATAGACGACCCTTCGTTGTTCAATGGGGGAGACCACTGATTTTTTAAAATGACATTATCGTTAATTCGCAAACTACCAGCGAATTAATTTTGAATTTTCCATTCATGCCTAAGACGATAGAAAAAATAAATTGGAATATGTCCATTTCAAAACAAACAATTCCGGCGCCATTTGGAATTTTGTCAATTCATTGGTGTGACTGGTGCGACGTCTTATTCCCAACACGCCTATTGTCCTTGAACTGACCAATCACACTGCAACACTGCAGAATGACGAGGTATCAGAAAGAGATAGCTACAGCTCGGGACTAATACGTCACGACTCCACCATCATATTTGGCTGTTTGAAATATCGAATGAAATATGCTGATTTCAAAACGATATAGATTCGATTCCCTTCAACTTTAACTCATAATATTGATTGTACATCGAACGTAAATAATGATTCGTCGATTGAAAGAGGTTTGCACGGATTTCTTCTCTCAGTGGTCTTCCCCATTCTCAGTAGCAGACCTCTGCAAGATTCAGTTAATCAAATGATAATCCATTTCGATTTCAATTTTCTTATGCAAAATTTTGACTGTTGAATGGATGATCAGTAGACCTTTCAAACGAGGTGTCACATGACCCCTGTTTTCATTTGAAAAATCGTTCATTACGTCATTACTCCAACACCGGTGACGTAACATCTCTCATATGGATATCATGAGATGAGGCTTCAAAAATGAAACCTCACGTGTTTTTGAAATTTTTTCAAATGTCGCCCATTTCTGAAATAATGAATTTATTCCATACATTTGCATCATACTGTACATAGTGGCAAAGGAAGTATTCCCAATTACTTATAATCTTAAGAGTTGTAAAAAAAATCCAATACCTACCTCCTCTTCCTATCCTTTCTAGGTAGGCATGATGTTCTACGAAAATTATAGGGATTGCAACTACGAAATAGTCACAATCCTCAAAGTGATATGGAATGTTAAATAAATACAAAAAAGCTCAAAGTTATTTCCACAAATATTCATAAAAAGAACAATAATGGTAGATGACGGGAGGAAAACAACTACTTTCGCGATATACAGGGTATTTCCGAAATTGGGGCGATTAATGAAATTAATGATAGGAAACAAAATGAAAGAATATATATTTGTTAACAGTTAAAACACAAGAGCTCTTTTTATCGAAAGATTCTCTCTTGGTAACGAAAACTATTTGACGATCAGTAATTTTACGAGAAAAACTGACATGAAAAAAAGGTGGAGCAATTTTGTCTAATGTCAGTTTTTCGAGAGAAATAATAACGCATGGAAAATGTTTGAGTTATAGTAAGGAAATTTATCCACTTAAAAAAAGAGTTCGAAAGTTTTTTGGCAAGAGTGACATCAGGCGCAAATAGCTACTAGATCAGAGAAGCAGGCAGTTTAGCAGCGATAAAAAAGTTGCATCCTTTTTTATCGATGTCAAAATGAATCACGTCGTCGTCAAATAGCCTTTTCTGTGTATAGGAGTTAATTTATCGAAAAAAAAAATATTTTGATAAATATTGAGCATCAAAGGTTTGCTTGAAATAAGTTATAATAGCCCATCTCAAGCATTCGCTTTCGGCGCGATCACAAGCACCGGAAGTATCAATAGCTTTTGCAATATTACCGGACGTTTAATAATATTCGGAAGATCATCAGTTATGGTGAGGGCGCAGAATTTTTGAAAAAAACTTTTTTTTGTGAATTATCGTGTCATTATGTCGTCGCCCTAATTTTGGAAACATCCTGTAGATTCTATAGCTATTCCCTCTAATATATGAGTATACTCATAACGCTAATTATCCGTAATATTGATTGAGATAATATTAAAATATTACCTACGAATTTGGAATTTTCATCCCCGAAAATTCTCGCAGTAGGCCTTGGTTTTTGTGTAGAGAAAAATCATGAAATGTCCCCTGAAGAAAATTCTTCCTATTCCTCAATTTATAATGAAAAAATAAGTTGATGAATACAAGGTGTTCGCTATCCTTTGGATCACACCTAGCAGTAGTGGAAATTTCGCTAAATAAAAATTGTTTTTTAAAACCAAAAATCTGTTCTATTCTTGACTCTTCCCAACCCTCAGCAAAACTTACTTTCGTATGCCCAAAGGCTCAAATTCTTCAAGTGATTCGCGTACTGCTCGAGATGATCGCTGCACAAAACGTTATCCGTATCCAGGACTCCCGCAGGAATATCCTTCAGATTCTCCGTAATATAGATTGAGATTATATTAAAATATTACCTACGAATTTGGACTTTTCATCCCCGAAAATTATCGCAGTAGGCCTTCGTTTTTGTGCAGAGAGAAATAATGAGTTGTCCTCTGAAGAAAATTCCTTCTATTCCTCAAATAATAATAGGAAAATTAGTTGAAGAATAAAAGTAGTTCGCTATCATCTGGATCACACATAGCAGTAGTGGAAATTTCGCTAAATAATAATCATTTTTCAAAACTAAAAATCTGATCTATTCTTGACTCTTCCCAACCCTCGGCAAAACTTACTTTCGTGTGCCCAAAGGCTCAAATTCCTCAAGTGATTCGCGTACTGCTCGAAATGGTCGCTGCACAAAACGTTATCCGTATCCAGGACTCCCGCAGGAATATCAGGAAACAACCCAACTCCATCGTCCGACAACACGATCAACGCACTGCACGAGACGAAGAAAATTGTCCGCAGCATTGTAGCCGCGCGGAAAGTGAAATGACTGTGAGTTACTGAAAGCGTTATACATAACTCCGTTTTCTGTTCAGCGATCTCATATCAGGCGGCTCTGCAACATGACATGCCGGGCCGTGTTGTGTTGCAATTGTTCGTCCTTCAGATTTCAGAAATGCTGCCGACGGTCGGGTTACTGCTCGTTACCTAACTTACTTCTTGGCCCAGATGCGGAAGAATAAGAGAGTGGATCTTTATCTTTCTTCGACTGTCCCGCGACATTTCTTCAGACATTTGCCGATATTTGGCCGTTTTAGCACAGTTGAGAGAATATTACATCTCAACTGTGGTTTTAGTCAGCAGTGGTAGCGGTAAGGTCGGAAATGAATTTTCGTTCTTCTGTCGTGCTAGAATAGATATACAGTGTGTCCCACTTACCATGCTCACCATGAGTTATTTTCAACGGTGAGAGATACGAGGTCGGTTAAATGACACCAAATGTGGAGTTCGTCAAGGCCAACTATAATGTGTGAAAATATTTTGATAAAATATATTCGTTTTTGTTTTATACACGAAAAACAGATTTTGATCATTTTCATGTCTCCTCCGTAACTTCTCCATTTATGAAAATATTCAAATAGGAATTTCACATTCTCATGGCAGTTTTTCAAAGTGATTTCGGAAAAAATATGAAATTTTCACCAACTCTCCTAGAATTTGAGATATCAGCACCAACTTTAGTTTTTTGAACGTAGGTCATAGCTCACTATGACTTAGTTACAAATAACTCTTTTTTCTCTTACAGATGATGTGTCACAGTGATAGTTTTGTGTTGATAACAACGGAGTTATCGTCATTTATACAAGAACAAAACATTATTTGGAAGCCGCCACCTTGAATTTATAAATTTTAACAAAAAAATCATGATCTCCGACCTCAAAAACCCCCACTCACCAATTTTGAATGGAATCGGACCAAATCTTGTCCGCCATCTTGGAGCAGCCATTTTTTTTTAATTTCAACAAAAATTCCATAATTTATTGTTATTCAAAATTGGTGAGTGGGGATTTTTGAGGTCGGAGATCATGATTTTTATGTTATAAAATTTATAAATTCAAGATGGTGGCTTCCAAATAATAACGATAACTCCGTTGTTACCAACACAAAACTATTACTGCGACATAGCATCTGTAAGAGAAAAAATAGTTATTTATGCCTAACGGCCTCGTCGGACAATTTCACGTCGAGTGCAATAAACAATTTTTGCACGAGTTGCATACAACATGTTTTCTACGTTCATGCAAAAAGCAAAAAATGATTTATTGAGGTGCGGCACTAGGTGCTATTATTAATAACGATTTACATTGAAACAGGAACTAATACGTTATGAACAATTAAACTCAAACTTTATCTTTACCCTCAATGTTGAAAGTGAATGAACAATTGGTGCAATTTTCAATATGAATATTTTGTAGTCAGATTTAATTTTTGACTGACGTTTCTATAACCACAGTTGCAATATAAAAAATGTTTGTCATGATGACAGCACGTTGAAGTAGAATGACAGATGAGTGCAATAAAGAACTTTTTTTTCCACTGAATATAGTTCAATAAAGTTCTGCTTTTTGCATGAATGTAGAAAAAAGTTATTTGTAACTAAGTCATAGTGAGCTATGACCTACATTTGAAGAACTAAAGTTGGTGCTGATATCTCAAATTCTAGGAGAGTTGGTATAAATCTCATATTTTTTTCGAAATCACTTTAAAAAACTGTCATGAGAATGTGAAGTTCCTATTTGAATATTTTCATGAATAAAGAAGTTACGGAGGAGACATGAAAATGATCAAAATCTGTTTTTTGCGTATAAAACAAAAACGAATAGATTTTATCAACATATTTTTTCACATTATAGTTGGCCTTGACAAACTCCACATTTGGTGTCATTTAACCGACCTCGTATCTCTCACCGTTAAAAAGATACCCATGGTGAGCATGGTAAGTGGGAGACACTGTATAGATAGAGTGTGAGAAAAGAAAATTTAGGAGTGAATATTACATATCATAACAAAAGACTAACATCATAATACTGATTATTAGTACATAATCATAATATGTGACAAACAGGGTAAACATATAACAAGCAAAGGTTCCAAACCGAGGAAAAAAAAGATACATAACTAGAAGAAAGTGCCTAGTAAAGTACAGAATCATAATATAATGCTTGTTAAGCAGCGCAAAAATATAAAAAAACAGTAATAGAAGTAAGTACCCTAGTTAAATATACAGGGTGTATCTAAATAATACCGAAAAAATTCAAGGGGTGATTCTTTGTGATATTCTAGCAGATAAAGTTCATATAAACATGTATCCTAACTTGCTCCATTTTTGATATACAGGATTTTGAAGTTGGAAGTATTAATTGTTTTTATTTATAACCTCCCTGTATAAGCTTTCATGGTGCCAAAATTCAGTATGGTTGGAGACTGAGGAAGCCCTAAAATTGCAAAATGATTGTGATTGGGGTTATTGAGTTATCTCAATGGTAGTCTTGAAAACACCTACAGTAAAATTCGGAGGCAAATCGAGTTTTTATTGTTTTCTCTTTACGACCAATTCTCACATTGACGAAGAAAAATATACCGTAGGAAGAACATTACACGGAAAGAAGAAGTATATTTATCAGTTCTACCAACTCTGACCTCATGTTCGAGTAGCGCGATCTCGTGGACAACAAATAATGTTAGCCTTCAACTGTTTCTTGTTGGACTCACAAATACTCTAAATGGCGAAGGCGCCATAATCAGGAAAACATCGGAAAACATATTGATAAACGGTTTCATGCAGTGTTAAAATTGGATAATCAAATTAACCAAATGAGAGAGCTATACATCAAAAGTTTCACTCACAAAATCTTAGGGGTTGTTTTTTTAGGACTTTGAAATTTACGAAATGGCGAAGGCGCAATAATTTGTAAAAATGTTCCATGAAAAATTATAAAATTCTGTTATGTTGGAAACTGTATTCATGTTTACAACAACAATTTCATTCCTCTATCCAGTATCTTATATTATTATATTGATTTTTGATCGATGTTGAACTTATCAGTGTGATTCAATATTTTGTTATACAAACTTGAAAATAGAAGTTAGTTTCCTGAATAATATAATTTTACTAATTATATGAGCGGAGCAGGCTGCAATAGTTATTTGTTGTACTAGGAAGCAGAATAGTAGATCGAGTGGCGCGGCTGATAGTTCATAGCATACCTTTTCTGCCTATGAAGTGTCCTTAAAAAGCCACTTCAAATGTCAATTGGAAAAAAAAAATTGTTTTACTATAGGCAGCAAAGTAGTAGATTGACTGGCGCTGCTGATACCATGTTCATCCAACCAAACCAATGTGTGTGATTTTTTCACTGAAATCATTTTGTGTTCATCCAATGTCAGTGTCAATTTTTATTACCAATTTCATTCAAATTACTTGGAACGTTACATAGCAACAAACTTGTTCTGCCTAGGCAGGGAAATTTATACCTTTGCTGCCTGTTGAGTGTCATAGAGAAGCCACTTTTTATGCCGCTTGGAGAAAATAGTTATTTGTTTAACTAGGCAGCAAAGTAGTAGATTGACTGCCGAGGCTGAATTCATAGCCGAGCGTAGCGAGGCTAGGAATCCAGCTAAGGCAGTCAATCTACTTTGCTGCCGGGTTGAACATATAATTTTTTCTCCGATTGTTCATAATAATATATATCTCTTTATTTTTCCTGTAGTGTTCAATTAAAATAAAATTTGATAGAAATCGCAGTTGTTGGAATGGTTGGTTGCTATGGAAATGTCCATAATAATCATAGTTTGACAATTCATGAAATTTCTGACCGTTGTGCGAAAAAATATCGGTATATTTAAATTATTATGATGGACAGTGATAGCGACCTGGAAGTACTTCCACCTCCAGAAATAAGGGAGGTGGCAAAAAATATAGAGTTGAATTTGTTGCCGTAGAAGTCTCGGATGAAATATGAAGGAAATCATAAACGATTTATGGATTATTAATTTTGCTGATACATATCAATCAGCAAAGTAAGCACTTTGCTGCCTAGGCAGGAAAAGTAATACTTTGCTGATTGATATGTGTCAGCAAAATTGATATTTGCTGCCAATCGGAGAAAAACATTTTTTCTCCGAATGGCAGCAAATAACAATTTTGCTGACACATATCAATCAGCAAAGTGATTATACTCAATGGGAATAAAACTTGACGTAAACATTCATTAGCAATTATTACATTACACTTTTAACATTTTTCTTGATGCAATAATCCATAAATCGTTTATAATTTCCTCCATATTTTATCCGAGACTTCGCCGGCAACAAATTCAACTCTATATTTTCCGCCACCTCTCTTATTTCTGGAGGAGTAAGTACTTCCAGGTCGCTATAACTGTCCATTATATAATAATTTGAATATACTATAATTATTATGGACATTTCCATAGCAACCAACTCTGCAACCAACCATTCCAACAACTGCGATTTATATCAAATTTTATTTTAATTGAACACTACAGGAGAAATGAAGAGCTAGTGGGAATTGTAATAATTTGCAAATACTATATCTTCCTATGTCATTATGAACAATCGGAGAAAAAATTATATGTTCAACACGGCAGCAAAGTAGATTGACTGCCTTAGCTGAATTCCTATAGTCTCGCTACGCTCGGTTATGAATTCAGCCTCGGCAGTCAATCTACTACTTTGCTGCCTAGTTAAACAAATAACTATTTTTCGCAACTGTCCGGGAAGTGCTCACTTTCCGGACGCTTCTTCTTTGGGGACGTAGAATTTTTTCGGCCTAGTCCGGAAAGTACGTACTTCCCGGACTAGGCCGGGAGGTATCACATCGTTGTTGTTACTGTAACTATGAAAATCTTGGTAGATATGGTTTTGATGAATATGCAGATCATAATTACCATAGCAGCGAAATATCGGCTGACAGCTATTTGAAATGAAATTATCGCAATAAACTATCGAAAGCAGCTGCGATAGTGAGTTTGAAAATGTCCATACGAAATTTCCAATGTAACAGTTAGTAGGTATAGGTATTCTGTTCAAACAGTATTTGATACAAATGAGAATTAATGAAGAAGAAATTTTATTCTACAAAGAAATATAATATGAAAATGTGTCTTATTGATTTGTTATTTTACATGGTTGCCGAAAGAATAGTGTACGCAATACGTCCAAAAACAGTTTATTTGGACTCGCAGATTTCCAGGACTCGCCTACGTAAATTACTATAACGTGTCTACAACAATGTAATTCCAGGATCTGGTGCGTTTCTCTTACTTGCTTACTCAGTAATTTTTGATCTCGACATCATGATCTCGATACACTCTTTATAGATAATACACAAATTAAATACATCTTACAGATTTTGATGATGACTTTTCGAACTGTATGAATTCATTGATTACCAGTAGAAATCTGGAAAAAAACAAAAAAATAGTGAAAGTTGAATATTTTATTTGGGGTACTCCCGCCAAAATTTTAAATGTTTTTAAAAAACGAAATACTCAGTTGCCAACAAGCAAAGAATGGTTGATTAGGATGTACTCTGATATTTTCCACTTTTAGCACGCCATAAAAACGATCACATATTATATAATGTGAATTATGGGTGTTTTTGTCAGACATATTCAATCACATAAAACTGACATTCATTTGATAAAAAGACAATAGGTTTGTTGACATACATAATTCATTAATTTTTGATAAAACACCCCTACTCGAATACGAATATTATTCCAAATCCCACTCACTATCCGTTGTCGACAGTTATCAGGCACTCCAACCAATGACAGCTAAATATCTAGACTGTGTTAATGGATTATTGAACACAGTCTAGATATTTAGCCGTCATTGCTCCAACATGAAAAAAGTTGTACTGTGATATACACGGAAAGTTGTATCTACTTTATAATGGAAATGCAAATGTAAAAACTTCACAAACGATAAGCTTTCCACAAAATTCGTAATCACACGATGTTTCGCTAACACAGTGGCTTCTTCAGGTGAACTAAACTAACCTTCATTCGATCGTGTTTGGCACTTCTCCACAAACTACTATCAACTATCACCTCAGTTATGGGCTTTCTTTTACCAACATCGCTTCATGTGGTGGTGGACAGACTACCGTCTGATACCATAGCCTTCAATTCCGGCGTCATAAAAGGAACCATATTGGCACCAACTTTGTTCCATATCATATCAAGGATCTCTTGGGAGTTACCACCTGCTCTACTCAGTGCTTTGCCTATGATACTACTCTCCATACTGCGTTCTCTTCTAGAATTCTCATTTTTTTTTCAGGAAACTAGGAACTTACAACGAAATAAGCACGTCAACGTTGAATTCAACGACACCAAGACTCAAGCCTGTGTTTTCTCCATGAGAGCCAGACCCATATTTGCCTGATTTAACGATGTATGATACCAACATTTTCACAAAGTTCACCATATCAATCTCGAGATTTCCATCAGTGTTATTCTTTCATGGGAAAATCATGTCACATCCATTGCGAATCTGCTTCGCACAAACTCTGATTTTTATACCGAGCTGAAAGCTACTTTACACCTCAACAGCATTTCATGACATACATAGCTCAGATACGGCCAGTTCTAGAATACTGTTCTCATGTATGGGGTCTAGCACCCAAACATATACTGATGCTCTAAGATTCCAGACATTCACCTTGTTGATGTGATTACACTCACTTGTTCCTTGACGTCATTGCATGGACTTTTCTATAGATACTTCCATGGAAAATGTTCTTCAGAAATATGAGCTATCATTTCATTACGGAGTCAAGAAGTCTAGTCAGCCAGCACATTCTTTTGTTACCAACTTCGAGATCTGTCGAACAACTCTTTACCAGAACTCGTTTGGTAAGTATTCCCAAGAACTTGTAACCTACAGAAGATGAAAAAAGTCGATACTTATCTCCCTATTCTTCCTAGGTATGTATTCGATTTTCCTCGAACATAACAGGGATTCCCTTTGGTGCCCTCCAAGAGATAAAAATAGCTCACATCTTTATGTGCACATCGAAAATACGAATTCCCTTATTCATCCGAAAAGATGATACAGAAAGTATTCTACAATAAGAATCAATGTTGTGCATGTGAGAACCGCGTAAAACAAGAGGGTTTGCTTTCATTTTTATAAATACAACTATACACCACTCAACTTGAGTATTTATTTATAATTTCACATTTCACTGAATAGTTCTAAGACTACAATAATAATATTCTTTCTGTGACGAGAAAAAATGTTGATATTTTATTCCGGTTGACAGCTTACAAAATGTCACTTTTCATAAATTACTTTTTTCTTTCCCATCGGAAAAAAGTGAGTACTTTTTTCCCGGATATACCGGGTGTCCCAGTATACCTGTTCCAATGTATTATCTCAGTCATTTCGAAAGTAACAAATTCGAAAATTTCATAATCTCCAATTCGTTCAAGGAACCTTCAACTGAGAAATACGAAAATCGAAAGTCACTTCCAGTTTGACCGGAAGGTACTCTAACTTCTTTATTTCAAATAGCACCCTGTATATTTTTTGCAATTTTTGCTTTCTACTCAGAATTGCCTTTCCAACGATGTATCACACTTTGTATTTTACATTTTATATGATGAAGAAAACGACAAATTGAGATTTGGAATTAAAATCAGTATCATATCCAATTTCTCTTAAATTGTGAAATTTTCACGGTTATTCATTCTTGAATGTCGCACACAACCATTGAGAATTATCAACCGTCAAAGATACAAACAAATGTATTCAAATGTTTCCATGGCACACTAAGGTTTTCATTTAAGAATTATTAATTCTTTCAGTTCTACTACATATTTCTATAATAATTTGAAATTTGACGTTCTCTTCATCATCTCGAATGCAAAATTGTTCATGAATCATCAATTATTGAGAAACAAATCATTATGTACTCAAAATATCGTAGTCTACTGCAATTCTTTCGATTTCAAATTTCAATTTTCGTTTTCTCTATCAAATTTTGAGTAGAAAGCAAAAAATATACAGAGTGCTATTTGAAATAAAGAAGTTAGAGTCACTTCTGGTCAAACCGGAAGTGACTTTCAATTTTCGTTTTTCTCAGTTGAAGGTCCCTTGAACGAATTGGGGATCATGAAATTTTCAAATTTGTTACTTTCGAAATGACTGAGATAATCCATTGGAACAGGTATACTGGGACACCCGGTATAGTTGAACTATTGATGGCTTTTGTTTTGCCAGTTCTCAAAAATAAGCCAAAAAAACCGTCTCCGAGAAAGAACTGAAAGTACTTTTATCTTCCTTTCGCGATTACGTAAATTACTATAAAAAACCAATAAGTTCGCAATTTTTCGAAATCAAATTAAATTGACACAAACATATTCGATTACTTCAGGAGGTTTCCATGAAGATGCCTACAAAAATATGCCTGCAAACATAGGTGTACTATACCAGTTGAAAACTTCAAATTTCATACCAATAATTTTCTGTTTTTATTATAATGTGTAATATATTCGCAATATTTCATAAAAAATAGTATATTACACACTAGAAAATACAAGATTTCAGCTTTCTGTTTTGGTAACACAACCTCGGGCTGAAATCTAATAGTTTTTTCCCTTGTATAATAAATCACAATTTTTCTGTGACGGAAAAAAGTTTGGAATTTTGTCTTTGTTGACAGGTTATAAAATGTAACTTTTCATAAATTACTTTTTTCTCACGGGAATCAAACTAACGGTATATGCGTTTACCAATTGTTGATGGTTCAATTATTCTGAAAAATGCGACCCGTTTGAAAAAAATTAATAACAAAAAGGCTGTTTTGAATAACCCCATATGTTATACAATTTCGAAATCTGTATTAAATGGGCAACTTTTTCTCATGATTGATTATCTTTGTGGGGTAGTTTTCAAATCTGCCAGCGGCATTTAAAAATCGACTTGAATATTTCATTCGATGACAAAACTCAAGGAAAACAACATTCTTCTCAGGTAATTGATAAGTAGTGATACATGTCATAAAATCATTTCTGGGGAAAGGTGCATCCATATGGATACAATTTGTAAAATAAAAATTCACAAATGTGACATAGTTTTATTGTAATCAATTTTTCTTATAAAAATGGAAAAACATCAATAACTTTTGAACCATCAATAATTGGATAACCACATATACGATTAGTTTGATTGGAAATGACCCCCCCCCTACCAACCCACTTATGGGAGGACCTGTATATACAGTAATATACACTGTTGACGGCTTTTGTCGTGCTATAGTTCCTACAACTAAGCCAATAACACCGTCTCCAAGAAAGAACTGCAAGTTCTTTTATCTTCCATTCGACTTCGCGGTCATGTAAATTACCAAACAACCAGTGAATTAGCAATTTTTCAAAATCAAATCAAAGAACCAGACTGTAACGCATCTTCATCATTGTTTTGGAGTAATCAAATATCTGTCGGATTAATACTGTGATTTGATTTTCGAAAATTTCGAATTCAATGGATGTTCAGTAATTTACGTAACCGCGAAGTCGACTGGAAGATGAAAGGATTTGCAGTTCTTTCTCGGAGACGGCGTTATTGCTTATTTTTCTAAACTAAAGCGGAAAAAAGTAATTTATGAAAAGTGATATTTCATAACCTGTCAACAGAGATGACATTATGGACATTACAAACTACTTTCCTGTCAGAAAATAACTATTTTTCATTCGATTTCACATAATTATATTCGCTTTTGTAAAGAAGTCAAGTTTTCAAATATGGTGCCAAATCATTCAGTGTAGGAGTGCCACTAGAATGGATTTTTATCTTCCTCTCTGATTTCTTTGACGTCCTTTCACTCTCCTCATATCTTCCGACTGTCAGTCTGATGAGTCTGTTACAATCTGCTGTCATGATTGACATTATTGTTGATCATTTCTTCTTCCCCTGCGCTGGGAAGATCGGTTGTCGTGATTTTTCTTGGAGGCTCTCTAGATGGCATGATGAGTTCTCTGAAAACTTTCCTGAATGGAGCTTCGATGAGCAAGAACAGTCCAAGGGCCGTTACGAAGGATAAGACCATGTCCGAGAAAGAGAGACTCATCTAAAAATACACAGAGAATTCACGGTCTATAATCAAATTGTAGATGAGACAGACAAGAGGGTAAATACGAACTATACAGTGATTTCGTAAAGTACTGAATACAATCATTTTCAGTCAAACTTTGTCGTTTTTTGGCGCAATGAGATGATATTTTGATCATATGAAATGAGCACCGAGGCCAAAGCTCACAAATTTGAGGTTATGGTGATATTGTATTCATGAGTTCCAATTTTTTCACTTTCAAGACAAGAATTCTGATCTCATTCATCGACGACAAGAACATTGAAACAGAAGTAACTAATCCTTTGTCTTTACCTGAAAAATCTATGCTATCATTGAGACCACACTTCGTGGATAGGTCAAAGTATGAAGGGAATTAATACAGAATCTAAAATATTCTGTGCATTAAGGTTTTATGCTACTGGATCATACTAAAGATGCTACCTTATGCTAATACTACATTGATTTCACAACGATTAGTCTCTGAAAATCGTCCTGTGGCCATGTCCTGTGCTGTTCTGAAAATGTTATCAACATTTTCCAGTTGTCATCTCTGAGTTTGAACGACATCGAAAACGAATTATACAAAGTGTTTTCGAAATAAGTACATATTTGGAGTGCAGCAAAGGGCAATTCGTCTCGTGGGTGATGCCTCGCTCACAAACTCACTCACTTTTCGAACACCGTAGAAGAGTTGTAGATCGGGCTCTATTTAATAGATATTCTCTCTCTCTCTCTCTCTCTCTCTCTCTCTCTCTCTTCTGAAAGATCAACAATTGTTCCTCCGTTGGCAGTCCCCGCGAGATTAACCCGTCGAGTTGAGGCTTCGCACCCCTTCGTGGTCACTTTGGAGACCTGCAGAACACCTCTTTCCAAAGACTCGTTCATCCATCGAACAGCGAGGCTCTGGAACACATTGCCAAGGAAGGTGTTCCCCGAGGCATATAACCTCCAGAAATTCAAGAAGAACACCAATTTCTACTTTATTTCCCTTGGTTCCCACGATGTTCTCTGAACATTACAGGATATTTCTTTTCCTGGGAACCAGAACATAACTCTTTTGATTAACAAGAAATTTCATCCTGGGAATTGAACAATAAACGAGAAAAAAAATCAAGTAACGTCAGAATTGCCATAGTGACAGATATTTATTCACAAACTTGACAGGAACATGAAAAATGTTTCGGTTAGGAATAAAAAATTGATAACTTAGTTTACTTACGATGAAAGTGATATCGAGGGAACTGTAAAGTGACTAGGAAATATATTATTGGACATAGCCTTCACAAAGAGATATACCGTATACACGTGGTGACGTTAGCTGTTGCCCTGAGACCTCAGGGTCTGCTGACCGAAACCACAAAAGTGCGGCTGTCTTCTGTTTGTTGACTCCGTTTATTTATTGTTTCGTTTTCTACCAAGTGCTGCCCATCCTTTGCATTTCCTCTCACCGTACTGATGAGGGCCAAAAGCCCGAAACACGTGTATACGGTCATCTCTTTGTGAGGGCTATATCTAATAATCTCTTTCCTAGTTAGTTTACTTAGTTCACGTAGATGTCTCTGAACTACATCTTTTCTTGATTTTGAATGAACCGACAATATTATAGCTCCTGCCTACTAACTACCTAACTAGATATTCATCTAGAACGACAATGGTTCGTTTCTTCGAGTATTTCACCGGTTCCTCAAGAGGTATGAATTCGCGGTTTTCACCATTCTCCTTCTCGTTTGCTCTACTTTCATATTAGAGTAGAATGAATATATGGTTTCTTCTGAAATTTTCGAAAAATATGGAAAATTGTCTGATTTTTCAAACGATGCGGCCACCACAGGATTTAAATCGACTTGATTCGTGATTCATCTGGAAGAACCAAAAAAACCCTTCATAATGAGATCAGGATCGTTTAATTCCGTTACACCAAACTGTAGTAATGAGAGTTTTTTCAAAGTACACTATCCATCCTTCCCTCCTTCTTTTATTTAAAGAGCTAGCGCATTTTTTTTTCTGATCAAAATGATTGGGAATCGACTCGAGAACATGAAAATAGTGTTTTTGATATGTCTTGATATATCAACTTCACATAAAAACCCATTTATTGAACTGGCCAATGCAATTACGCCCTCTAGGGGCTGTCCTGGAAACTTGAAAATAATTTCCAGAGATTTTTCTTGTCCACTTTTATCATAAATATTTTTTTCCGAAACCTGTGCGGCAAATAGTTTCCGAGATACAGCCGGCGTCCTTTCTTAGTGGTATTTATTTATTTATTTATTTATTTATTTACATAGGTTACCCAACAGGACAAGCCCAATAACAGGATAACACACGATAACAATAAAAATAACAATTGTGTAATCTTGAAATACCAAAAAAAAAATTGAGAGGATATATAAAAAAAAAACTTAATCTAGTTTACAGATCCAAAGCAAAATATATGAAATTCGGCTAAGTGAGCATAATACAAGTGTTTAAGAACTTCCTCAGTTTCTTTTTGAAGCACTCAACGCTAAGCATAAAAATGTCCAAATCATCAGATATCATGGTGTTGATTGTGACCGTACATCTAATCATTGGAGAATTACCAAAATAATTTGTGGAAAAATAAGGAGTAACAAATAGTTGTCTATGACGAATATTATATGAGGAACAGTTTAGTGTAAAAAGTTTTGAACATTCATTGGAATCAATTAGATTATTAAATATTTTGTAAATAAAGTATATATCATTGAAATCACGCCTAAGAGATAGGCTCACTAGATTATAGAAAATTAGGTTACTTTCATAAGGAAAGTAGTGCCTATATCTGAAGAATCTAAAATTTATAATGTTGATTAACTTCTTTTGCACAAACTCTAGTCTCTTTATGTATTTCTGATAAGATGGGTTCCAAACAACACTACAGTATTCAAGGATAGGTTTTATCAAAGTGTTAAACATAATCAGTAACGAGGAAGGATTCCTAAAATCCCTAGTATTTCTCAATATGAAGCCAAGAGTCCTTAGGGACTTTCTCACAATTTTCTCAATATGACTTTCAAAGGACAATTTTGTATCCAAAGTAACACCTAAGTCAACTACCTCATCAGAAAACGACAGTTTATCATTGTCAATATTGAGCGAAGAGAGGTGGATTCGGGCTACGAGTAAATATGATTTGACTACATTTCTTAGTATTTAGTGAAAATTTATATATTTTACAATATTCCGAAAAGCGATCGAGGTCCTCCTGTATTAAACTATAATCCGAGAGAGATTTTAAAGGAGAGAAAATTTTCATATCATCGGCATATAATGAGATATTGCAGTGATGGAAACAGCTCCCGACGTCACTTACATAGATACTAAATAGTAGCGGCCCTAGATGGGAGCCCTGAGGAACCCCCGAGGTAACTGGCAGCAAATCAGACTACCCGGTACATCCCGGTACATCAAAGAAGTTTGGACTGAGGCTGTATCTCGTGTGTTCTTGCCTACTTTCTATATCGGCCGTAGGTAATAGTATATTTTACGAAGATGAAAGTTGCAGTACGAGCCAAAGGTGAGTGGTGTAATCATCTGAGTGGGTGATAGTCATTATGTGCGAGTAGAATACTATACTTTATCTACAACCATTCAAATATCAAACTAATTTTGAGAGTTCAGAAATTTATCTTTGAAAATAATGAAGGTTATTATATTGCAAAATCACTGAATCTGATTTGAAATACTCATTAATTCCATCGAAAACTTATTGACAGAAATTTCAATCAACGAACAGTTTATAACTTATTTCAATAATTATGTTTGTGAAAACATGATAAACAATGATCTAACTTTTATCAACAGGAAAAAAGTCGTGCAATCACATATCAGTCAATCTCACCAGGTATTATATGCCATTCCACTTTTCAGTTGTGAAATGAATCATACATTTGCAGATTATTCATTAACTTGCTTCTGCTGTAGCATTCCTCCACCGCGATGATTAATTGTAGTACCCTGTCTCTAGCATATACGTATTAATAATCAATACGGATAATCTCTATCTGTTTCCATAGCGAAACATGAAGCCGATTTTTGAAGACAAACGACTATCCATAAGGAAAAGTGAGATACGATCAGACACATACTGCTTTGATTGAAAGGCTAGTAAACGTCATTGTCCACCGAAACGCATGTCTTTGATGACTACGTATCATGCCACCAAATCCTTATGGATATTCATTTGTTTCATATTTTTGGCGTCATCCTGGCACCCGTTATGATCCGTATTGTTTATTAATACGTATATGGTCTCTAGACGCTAGTTATCAACAATGAAATTCCATGGTTCTGATTGGTCTGTATACTAATCTATTCGAATAGCCCGCACATAAGTATGAGCCAATCTGCAACTGTCAGGTCAAGTGTCAAGTCCTATTTCATGGTTATGGTTACTCATGATAAAGGTCATGATGGTATAGTCACTGTTGAGAATGAAAAACAGTGAATTCTCATTTTTCCGTATATTTGTAGAATTATGGTGATTAAAACTATGAGAACCATGTGAGGTGAGTCTTTTGAATTCGCGCGTAATTCACAAACATCAGTAGTATAGTGGTGTGCTTTATTAGAACTAGAAGAACGAAAACCTACATAGTTGAATTTGACAAGACGATGGGATGTCAGATTATTACGCCATCCTACTGTCATTATCACTCTTATTACTCGATTCTTCACAAGCTAACCTATAGTTCACTCAATGAAAACCTCCTGAGGGTAACTTAGAGGGTACAGGCCCCTCTCAAAATAAAAATACCTGTTTATATACTTTATACTATAATATGTTTACCATTTAAATTCAATATTATTCAACAACTTTAAAGAACTTTTTTCATCCTCATACTATATAGTTTAGACTTTTGTAGGATGTTATAAACCTTGGCTGATGATGGGCTTATTATAAGCCCGAAACATGTCCCCCCCTATTTGCAACATAATTTTGTTCACCCATTAAATGTCGTGGAGATGATTTCGAGATTTATTCTTCCTTCAAACCATAATATCTATCATTAAACGTTGAAAATCGAGTTAGCAATGTATGAACGACTCCATAGTTGTAGATAAAGAATATTACACATTTCATCGTCGGTATTACGGTACTGATTGCGGAACGTTGTGAGATGCGTTATGGTATCTATGAATCAGGGTCCACAATATTTGGCCAATACCATATACGTATTAATAAACAATACGGATCATAACGGGTGCCAGGATGAAGCCAAAAATATGAAACAAATGAATATCCATAAGGATTTGGTGGCATGATACGCATGCGCCATGCGCTATTATAGTAGTCATCAAAGACATGCGTTTCGGTGGACAATGACGTTTACTAGCCTTTCAATCAAAGCAGTATGTGTCTGATCGTTTCAAAACTTTTCCTTATGGATAGTCATTTGTCTTCAAAAATTGGCTTCATGTTTCGCTATGGAAACAGATAGAGATTATCCGTATTGATTATTAATACGTATATGGCCAATACTTACAACATCGAAATAAGACACTTGTCTCGGGTTCATGAACTTGGCCGCCGACCGCAGCTGGAACGTCATGTGGCACAAGTACGCGCCGTACACGAGCTTGCTGAGCGGCACCCAGGGCGACCAGCAGAGCACCTTCCTGATGCAGCCCGCGTGCCCGAAGCTGGCCACGTACAAAACCCCGAAGCTGCCAGCTGCCCAGGCCAGCCTGTGCAGCGCCGCGTAGCTGGCCGACTCGACGGCGTTGTAGGGGTGATAGGGGTCGTAGAAGACTTTGGCGCTGAACACGGACATGAGCATGAGGCATAGGGAGACCACCACGACGATGAAGGATTTGGTCTGCAAAATGAAAATGTTCCACTAAGGATGTTGGTCGATCTCAGTGGGACACAATAAACTAATAAGTTACAATACACAATCAACATAAAGAATAATCAGTGAAGAGTTACAAAAGTCTGGCATTTTATTAAATTGTTGCAGAGCAATAGAGTCTAGAAACTGGCTACCTGAAGATTTTGTTCGTTGCTTCCAATTATGTGAACCGATCTGATTCCACCTTTCTTATGAGGGCTGGAAGCATATATATACTAATAACTACATAGAGGTAGTATTGATTCTGCCTGATAACTAAAAGAAATGGATGTTTTGATGTTTGCAAATAAAAGTATAATAGTAGCAAGAATCACCTACAATTCCAAACTATCCACAATGATGGAGAAATAGATGGAGATATAAATGACAAGTTTCGATTATCGATCTAATGAAAATAGCTCTCTCTCTAGAGAAGAAAGAATTGTTGAAAAAAACATGAGGAAACATGGAAGGCATAGCGAAACAATCAACTCCCTTAGTGAAAGTTTCACCCCCAAATTTTTTCAAAATGGAATAGGGGTATCCCGCTAAGAACTGCTTGGGACTGTTTTGATGGATATTTCGTCAATCAACAAATAAATCAATAAAAAAAATAACCTGAAGGAACATTGGCAAAGACTCACCAAAGTCTGGCAGTTCATTGAACTGCTGCAGATCTATATATAGAATCTAGAAATGGGACACCTGGAAATTTTGTTCCTAGCTTCCATATATAATAATGCGATCCGATCTGATTCCACCTTTCTTATTAGGGATGGAAGCTCATTCTTGTAACTAAATATAGTATTTATTTTCACTTTGAGAACCAGAAACAAATCACGAGATGATATGTGTTTATTGGTGTCTCACTAAGGGATGCTAGCAGTTGTGTAGGTCGATCTTTCGTCGATTAACCAATAAATTACAAATGGAAGCAAATCAGCCAAGAGTCACAGAAGTCTGGCAGTTCATTGCACTGCTAATGCAGAGCAATATAATCTAGAAACAGGACACCTGAAAAGTAACTTTGTAGCTTCCATATAATTATGTGAAGCGATCTGATTCCACCTTCTTCATTAGATATGGAAGATTATTCTTATAACTAGATATAGAGTATCGATTTCGTTGAAATAAAGAAGCGGGTTGATGTTTGCAGATAATAAGGCCATAGTAGAGCAAAGAAACACTTACAATTCCAGGTATTAACATTCCACATCGATGGTTGAATACATTTAGAAATGAACGACAGACTGATGGGAAGAACCAGGAAAATGTTCGATCTGATGAAAACAATTTGATTTTGAGAAGGAAGAATTGTGGAGAAAGCATGAAAACAACAAAACCTGATAAAATAGGTAATCCACCTTATGCACCTCATGCAAAGCAGCCAGAAATGGACTCTAGCCGGAAAGAATTTCAACCACAGAACCTAGGAACACATCAACTTCATTAGTCAGAGGGGTAACTTTCAACGTGAAAAGCAAATCAAAACCTTCAATCTCCTAAGTGAGGGTGTTTCCCAAATTTTCTTCAAATGGAAAAGGGGTCAAGTGATACCTCATTAAAAATGGCTTTCAATTCCCTTACATTACTGCTCAGTTTTTTGACAATCGATTTACTCGTTTGGGAAATATGAACCTTAGAAAACTAACAAAACTTTTGACGAATATAAACTGATATGGAGGCCCCTTGAAATTATTAAGGAATCAAAAAAAGGAGTTTGTCCGTGTCTTATTATTTTTTTGTCTCTCTTGGAGCACAGGAAAGGAGATTCCTATAATATTCGTGGAACATAGTAGAGGAGGTAGGTGTTGGAATTTTTCTTGAACTCTTATTATAGGTTCTTGGGAATTCTTCCATTAGCAAAGAATTCCAAAGCTTTGCCGTTCTATAGACGAACGAGTTTTGGTAGAGTGTTGATGACGTCTCCTGTATATAAAGTACAAAATACAGAAACAGGACGTTATTGAAGGCTGAAAAATTGCTTTGTTTCGATGAAACACTGATGTTAAACAATCTCAACTCAACTTGAGACATCCTCTCTATGTTATTGAATATCCCAGACAGCACCAGATATTCCAAGAATATCCCTATCATATTCCTTTTGGAATATTGGAATATTCTAGAAATAATCTGGAATATTCCGGAATATCTGTGGAATATTCTCTAAATATGCGAATGGGAATTCCTCAGATAATCATAGAATATACCCAAAAGAATATTCTATGTTGAATGTTCCTGGAATATTTCAATAAACATATTCTAAAATTAAAAAAAGTGACCCAAGTAGGGATCGAACTCGTGACCTCAAGACTATCAGAGCAACGCCTTGACCACTAGGCCAGTTATCGAATTGAATAATGTTATACATATCAGGTTCTTGTGAGAGCATTGTTCGAAATCGGATCATAAACACTTTTTTTTTCAAAATCCCCTTACATCTAATTGATGTTCGATACTTATATCTCTGAAATAATAAATGGTATTTATGTGTTGAGAAACAAAGGAATATTCATGGAATATTTCATGAATATTCACCACCGAATATTCAGTTGAGAATATTTCATGAATATACCGCACAGAATATTCAGTTGGGTATATTTCATGAATATACCGCACAGAATATTCAGTTGGGTATATTTCATGAATATACAACAGGGAATATTCAGTTGAGAATATTCCTGGGAGATTCATAGCTGAATATTCCCTGAACATGTCCGACTATTCACTTTGGAATATTCCTTTTAGATGTTCCAGTGGCATGTATATATTCTAGGAATAATCGATGAATATTCGGAATATACTCCTCCTTTTTAGCATATTTAGAGAGTATTCTATGAATATCCAGTGCTGTCTGGGATTTGAATAGAGCTTTTTCTAGCAAATGGATGATTCAGTTGCCAGCATACTGATTGAGATTGATGGGACCTCATGGGCCAAACAAGTGTGATTTCTGCTCTTGCTGATGAATCTCTTTGTGTTGAAATCTAGGTGGTTCTTCAAAATTTGTAACTTCTGTTTTCACGAAATGCGGTAATCCCACAGCACAATTATTTATTGTAAATATTATAATTAATATCTATAACTTACCCTGCAGATATGTTTATTGCACCCTTTCAACTTATAATAGGTGTATCCTGCATACATCCCTACAAAATAAGGTGTTGCCCTGGTATGAGATTTGCTGTAAGTCAGTAGAAAATCTACGTAAACCTTTGGGCCAGTCAAAAATTCCGGATAAAAGTGCATCAGTCCAGGTCTCTGGTAAACAATCGTGATAGCAAATGGGACGACCATTGAAGCTATCGTGAAGAAAAGCAGCAGGCTGAGTCCTATTCGTTTTTGTTTTTTGATGAGGAAACATATGACTGTGGCGATGATGAAATAGTGGAAGTCACAGGGTAGGTACCAAGAATGTGTCATGCACTGAAAAAAAAATCATGATCACTTTCTCGCATATATTTTTCAAATTCTACTGAAACAAAAAATAGGGTGTCTGTTTTTTCAGTCCAAGCATGGGTATCTCGACTATTTCAAGAAATACGAAGTGCAGTTGCGCTTATAGTAATCTGAAAGGAATACATCATTTTGTCTTTGAAATATCCCAATAGAACAGATAACCGTTTCTGACCAAGATATATTCGTAACAAATTTCAAAAAGGGGTTGAACAATATAGCAGCATATTATTTGTTCAAGCATTTGAAAAGTAATCTAGCGATAGTCCAACGAGCTGTTTATTGTTGCTATTTTTCAAAACGCTAGAATGAATGTGATATCATTTTTGAATTTCATTCTTGGTATCGTCACAACAATGTCCTATATATAAAAAGTTCTTAGGCAATATTTTCAAAACTGAAAATGCTAGAATGACACTCTTTTCAGATTATCAATCAATTAGAAAAAGCGAAAATATATTATACTCAACCATCTTCGTATTTCTTAAGATAATACAGATCCAAAATTTTGAATAGCCTCAGAAAACGTGTTTCCTTATGTATACAATGCATCTTCATGAGGTTTCATAGTCGAAATAATTTGATTCATTTTCAAGATGAAAATTAACTCTAGGAGAAACTCTCCTTCCTCTTTGTCAAAAATTCCTGAATTTTATCTTTTCCGGTTTTGCAATCTCAGTTATTGAAATTATGTGTAATCTCTGAATGTCTACAATTTTCACATTCCAATGAAGTTCATAGCTCCTCTTATGATTTGACTCCTATATACAGAAATCCCATTCCATCTATAGTATTTTCCCAGCTGTGGGAATATGTTGGGCAATCTAGCCGAATAGCTGTAATCAGAACCAATGGACATATTCGATTGTAGGGTAAACTTCTAAACCGAAGCACACGATACAGTAGTTATGCTATTCACTTAATTTTATTTACCATATGATCTGGATTCACATAGTTGCTTATGTATAATAAATTCGTCCACCAGTTTTTTCTGCAGTCTTCAGAATCTCCTCCTGCTATCAATTTCCAAAGTGGTCCTTCCCCAGAGTGATTGAAAATTGTAGCATAATAAAATATCACAAACGCGTATACCGGAGTTAACCTAAAATAAGCATCAAGATAACAAGGGAGTTGAATTGTTCGCAAATATACAATACTAGGCGGTAGAAGTGCATTTCGTGGAATATTTTCGACAGTTACAGGGAGAACTGACTAAATATAGACATTCCTGATCAATTGGAAATGATTAGGCACTACAATAGTTCAACATATACCTGATATATCTCAGTAACCAAATCAGTCCAAGATTCATTGGCCTCTTATCAAATTGCCCCAAGAGCCCATATACTACTAATAGTCCACTGAGCAAGAAGAATGAATCCACAAATAAGTCTCCATGAAAAAGTAAGCACGCAACTGAAGACCTGTATTGCTGAAAAATATTTGGTATCAAAGAATAAGTTTGAAAGTTATTCCATGCTATTTCTAGTCGAGTTGAATTAGTTTTCGTGGAATGTTTATAATAACCAAACATACAAACAAACCTCAAACAGTTACAAGTTACTTTTTGTGTGTCGGAGAGGTCACCATAAATTGGTATACCAACTGAAGGCTGTTCATGAAGAGATCATTATCAATAATATCGATCACTTTTTCTGAAGAATATTCAGGAAGAATTTCATATTATTATTTGTGGTTTATATAAAAATATTGTTTACCAAAAGTTGAAGGTTATTCGTTTTTGAAGAACTATATTCCATTAGATATCAATTTATCGAAGGTTGACTGTTGACAAACGTTCTCTTTCACAAATTAGGAATCTCGATATTCCACATCTGTTAATACAAACAAGACCGTATTCCATAAAATGTAGATACCTGCTACGCAATATATATTGCGTTGGAGTGAACTTATTACCTTATTGAATTGTAGTGAGAGGCCAGAGGCCTATAATACATAGTACCTAATTCTAATTCTATATGCTGCTTACAAAAATAACTTGAATCAACTGTTATAACCTGATAGAACAATGTACAATCAGATACAATGAACATGTCGCTCATGGACGCAGATAGCACCTCTATATACAGGGTGATTCAGATTGAAATATACATACGATACCTGTAGGTAGAGGACACTTTCACTCACTCCCCTTTGATGTGTCTATCGTCTTTTATAACTGAGCTTGATTTTGGCAAAATCATCATCTGGTCTTAGCTTTTGCTAATCGGAATCAGAATCCAGGTCTTTCTTTAGAAAAAACAGAAAACGTCTTTTATTTCAAGAACAACAATCTGTATGGCAAAATTTTGTAGATCAGTTTCGATATTTGAAAAGAACAAGAAAAAACGAATGAAGTGACCTACTTTTCACGACCGCGCATCCGCTTTGACAGATGTTTTATTATTATTTTCTGATATACTCGGCTTCATTTTGAGTCATTTTTATTGAACTTGTGATTCAAAATCCTATTATTCTTCAAAATAATAACAGACGTCGAAGTTCAACATCATGAGAGTCAAATTAGCTGAACTATCGATAGATCTGTTCGTTCGACAGAAAAACGTCTGTGGTTTTGGAAATTTTTGAGGGCTCATTTTATTCTTCACTATCAATTCATGAGCTGCGGTGAAGTAGGCTGTGCAAAAAATCGGATATTCTGACAGTTCATAATCACTATATAGTTCGATCTTATTGGTAACGTTAAGATGATTGTTGGTGCTTGTATATTGGGTTGTTACATTTCAAAGTGTTTATAAACACAACACAATAAACTTAATGTTAACAATAATATCACACTGGTGATTATAATCTGTCACAATTTGAAAAATAATTGCACATCCTAGTTCACCGCAGCTTATGAATAAATACTAAAGAATAAAATGAGTTCTCGAAAATTTCTAGAATCATTGACAAGCTATTTTGTCAAACGAACAAATCTTTCAATAGTTCTAATTTGACTATAATGAATATTTAACTAACTTTGAAGACCATTATTTTTTTGTATAAAAATTGGATTTTGAATTACAGTTCAATAAAAATGAATCGAAATGGGGTGAATATTTCGAAACATAATAATGAACATTCAGTCAAATTGGATGCGCGCTCGTAATAAGTAGGTCACTTCATCAATTTTTCCCTGCTCTTTCCAAGTATCAGAACAGATCCACAAAATTTTACCATACAGAGGGTTGTTTTTTAAATAAAGAAGTTTTCTGTCTTTCCTTAGGACGGACCTGGATTCTGATCCCAATTTTCATTTAGTTCTGATGTGTAATATAAGTGGAATATTTCTACCAAGTATGGATAGATTATACAACGTGGTTCAAAAATTATGACCATGCAGATGAAGATTTCGCCAAAATCAAGATAACCTTCTTTAAATCAGTTATAAAAGACGGTAAACACATCAAAGAGGGTGCGGTTTGAAACCGTCAGTGTCCTCTATCTGCAAGTATCATATGTATATTCTGAGTCTGAAACACCCTGTATAGTGACTTCTGCGCAATGAGAGCACTAACACCACCAAATTAAGGAATATTACATAGCACACAGTTCTAACACCATCCAACCGCATCTGACTGTACAGTCAAATGCAATGAACATGTCGCACATGGACGGTGATAGCAGTTCTATAGACACTTCAGCAATGAGAGCGCTAACACCATCCAATGTCGAAATGTTCTTTGCATCTGACTGTCAGGAATAAATGTAATTTCCCACGAGTATAGACTCTGCAACATGAGCCATAGGCGAATTACAAGGGCATTCATCTGTCTATCAAAATGAGTAAAAATATACCGGGCGTCCCATTTGAAATAAGAAAATTCAATCAATCGATCAAATCGGAAGTGACAGAAAACAATTGGATACGTCGAATAATGCATATTTATGAACTATACTCATACACCGAATTTCATTTGTTTATTCATATGAACAAAAAAGTTCTAGGGGAGATCCACTTTTGAGAAACACCCGGTATACATACAGTATTTCAATACACACAACCCTCCTAGTACGACAATCTATTTATGACAAACAACATACCTATACTATACATTCATCAGGTCGCTTCGTAAACTCAAAATTTGCTTGTCAAAACAAACACAGAAGAAAAATTGTTTGAAACTACAAAATTTTTGTAAATTCAACAAAATCTGAGTGGCATATATCCACGACCAAATATTTTGTCACCGCAATACATTTTTTTCGTCAGTTTTCAATTTAAAATTCATTTGATGTGACTCTTAGTGATTCAAATTAACAGCAGGAATTGGTTGAATAAAAAGACTATTTTGTTCCTATAATACAATATCTGCTCTGATGAACAAATTCTGTTGATTGAACTACTCATATCATTTCATTCAAGTGACAAAATTTTCAGTTTCTCAAAGAGTGAATAATTTTGTTGAAATAACAATATATATTCTGAATATAACAAAATAGCTTTTTCATTCAATGAAACAATTCATTCGATCAACAGAATTGTATTCAGAATTGATATTGATTGATAGAAGATATTTTGTTGAATGATATAAAAAAAATCCAATTCCTGAATTTCGAATTTAGAGATCAATTTCCTCAGTTGATTCAAGACTATTAGCTTGTATAAGCGTCATCAGAAATTCTGGGACAGCTTAATATATAACTAGGGAAAAAGCCAAATACTCAAAGTGGAATGCAATGGTCACAAAGAGAGAGAAACTCAAAGTCATTACCACATACTAGTTCATAAAATGAACGATAATGGTAGATAACGAGAGAAAAACAACTACTTTCCTGGCTATATGCCACGCAGACCATTGCATTACATCCTCCCAAAATCTATGCGATAATTCGTATATAGACGAATAAAATCGCAACTGTTTCCTTCCTAAACGCTGAGTTTACGTTGGGTCAGGTAACTTTGAGTTTCTCTCTCTTTGTGAGCTTAATATAATTATATAAACGGATGTTGTAGGTCATGTAGGTAGGTATATGTATGTACACTCCAATCGAGGCAAGCGTAGGAAGGTGGGAAAATATGCCATCTGGTGGCGAAAATGCAACTGTGGGTTCTGTTCAACAAAATGATCTGTTTGAAATAACAACATATTTCCTGATAATGATGTGTTGAATCAACAAAATATAATGTTTTCATAATCAATTCAATTTTGTCGAATAGAAAAAAACTTCGATTGGTTGTACGATGAAATTATTGTTGAATCAACAAAATATTATGTTCTTAGTTGAATCTTTGTCAAAATTAATTCAATTTTGTGAATTAGACAAGATGCATATGATTGATTGAACAATGAGATTATAGTTGGATGAACAAAATTTGTTTTATGCCAACTATAAATGTTGCTGAATGAAATGAAACTTTTGTTCAAGTAAGCAAATATTTCAATAAAATTATTTAGTTTTTTCAATAAGTCGCTTATTTCTGATGAACATATATTTCATTGTTCTCACGAAATTGTCTTTAATTTAACCATCAAAAAATGACCAGAATTATTTTGTTGGTGCAACAGAACTTTTTTTCCGTGTACACGGTGAAACATGGAACATACTCTAGCTGGTGAGAAACAATTTCTTAACCTACCAGAAAGCCGCATCTTATAGGGAGATTACTTTTGCGCCATATTGTACATACATACCGACTCCAAGTAGTTGAAATTCGAGATGGCAGATGAAATGAATGTGCCGAACCTGTGGTCCATTATGATTGCCAAGATGCAAACAGTTCTAACGCCATATAGTATACTCAACGATGGATTAGAGTCATCTGCTCTGTTCAGTTCATTGAAATTTTGTCTGGCTGAAAATGCCATCATCATTCTTGAACACCGAGAAACTGAAAAATAAGAGTTTACTTCACATCCTCCGTTTCATTATTATTGTATAACAATGTGGAGAGTTTCTATTTTTCATAATATGGTAATTCCTTATTGACTTTGTACTACGAGAAGAATTAGCACTTACTCACTTTTCAGGGGCTTCTCTTCAGTTTTACTGCTGTTAACCGTGACGTCATATGTTGTACCCAATATCACCAAAGTAATCAGCAGCACTGCTAAAAAACTATAAAAGCAAGATGCGGGGAATAATATCGCATTCCAAAATATCTTTATTGAAATTGAACCAAAATTAAAATTAATAAGTGAATGATTCTATAGACATATAGGCAAATCTTCTGATAATACTGAACTGAAATGACAAAAGATAAGGAGGCAGTATGAATTTGAATGGAATATTCAATCAAATTACTGGAGGCATTTCCCAAAATATAATGTAACATTATCCTGAATAATCATATTCTTATTCTCGTATTAAAATTCCATAATGAATAGTTATTGCTTATCAAAAGTCAGTAGGAGCGCCTCGAGCGAGGAATACCCAATACGTACAGGGTGTCTCATTTAAATGTGTCACCCCCGTTTATCCGCATAATTCCGAACATATTTTGGTCGTTCAAAAACTTCCCTGGAATAATTTTTAACGAATTTTTTGAACATGTTCTCTCTTCTGTACAAATTACAGGGTGGCTCAGAAAAAGTTATTTCTTCAAATGGAATGATTTATATTTTTTCCATATAATCCGATGAAGCCCGTCAATCTGAATTCAAAAATCTATATATATATTCCATGTATTATTATCGGAAAAAATTTAGATCATTTCATTTCGAAAATCTTTCTCAGTCACCCTGAATTTTGTTGATATGAAGAAAAAGTGGGCACATATTCAAAAAATTCGTAAGAAATTATTTCAGAAACGTTATTGAGAGGCCAAAATATGTTGAGAATTACGACGATGAAAGGGGGTGACAGATTTTGGTGGGACACCGTGTACACGGACTTCAAACGAACTTCAGACGAACCGACAAATGCACGGTGTATGTTTTTTGTGGGAGCAACTCCAATCGACTTTGGAAGGGCTATAGCTCAAAGTTCTAGCGTATATAGCTACTGAGTTTTCCAAGACAGCGCTAATGAAAAAAAAATACAAATTGAATGTATGAGTCAGTGCTTTGAATGGTCTCCCCTTATTCTGCTTCTTGTTATGTATCAGATAGTGAAATGAGAACAAAAGACTCGAGAATAGCCAATCATTCTTGAATAAATATGAATTAATGAACTGGGAGAATGTTGTTAGAGTAGCATTAAAGCATCGGCGTGATAATATTAATAATTGACTGAAATCAGCGAATATAAGTGAATAATAATATTATTATGACTATTTTGTCATAAATAAATTGATAAATATGTTGCACACAACAGACCTACAATAGAAAATTGTTATGTTGCTTATAATAATATTCCTTCAGAATGTGAAATATTAATATTATTATATTTCAGAAATATTTTCATTCTTGAGGATTGTTATACTATAGAATGATCTTCAGAAATTATGTTACTGCGAATACTATAAAGATTCTTTATCTGATGGCATGTCATAATGACAACGTTATGTCACTCAATTTTGATGACATAAGGAAGCTCATTATGGGACTAAGTACCATAATGAATTCATTATGGGACTAAGTACCATAATGAATTCATTATGGTATTAAGTACCATAATGAAATTCTATAAGGAAAACATGTAATGGTTTGATCAAAAAAGTTTATTCAAAATGCATAACTATGTACAAAACTATTTATTATAAATGGTAAAAGAACAATTACTACAATTTGTGATATTAATATAATGGCAAAGCACAGCTCACTCACCTACTAATATTTGAAACTACACAATACTCACTCCTTTAAAAATAGTTGTCATTGTGACATGTCGAAAATGCAGTTTTTAATTTTTCGAAAATGTATTGACATATATGCCATCAGATAAAATTTTGTATGTAATACGAATCATAAACAATCATTATGGCACACGCCGTGTTATCGGACTCGGCTACGCCTCGATAACATTCACGACTTGTACCATAATGATCGTCTTTATGATCCTTATCACATAAATAACTATTATAAGAAGTATCATAATAATATTCCTTCGGAATATTTTCCTCAATTGCTAAAAACATGAGAGAATGTGGAATTGATTGATGTATTCCCCTGGATTGTTTCAAGATTATTAGAGATATTCAAATTATTGTCCTCACAATATATCGCTCGTCAAAGAAAGTGACGAAAGAATGATTCTCGATAATAAAGATATTCTCAATACCCTAGTATATTCCAGTGTAATAATGGTAATTGAAGAAAGAATAAATCTCGAAGTCGTCTCCATGACAAAATATGATTATTTCGAATATAAATCGGATTACTCTTCACATATTCACTGGAATATTCTTGGAAACATATTCAGGTGTAGTCATTTGAATAACTATGGAATAACTAAACGTTCTTGAGGAATATCCTAGGCATATTCTGTGAATATATTGCTGACAAGATATTCCATTTGGGATTGAAAATAATTCCATATTCAATTGGAATGAGATGTACATGAGACAAAACGGATTCAAGAAAATATTTTTGAACTTTATATAAGTGCAGCCGTAGAGATTCAGGAGACTATCAAAATAATCTTGAATCTTTCATGTCACTTGAATTTATTTTTTTTCTGAGTACAGTTCGAAATCTAAGCAGACTTTCAACTTACCAGAAGGAAATATCAACGGCATCGAAGTAGTTACTTTCTGCAGCAGTTTGACAAAATTTTTCCGAAAAATGAGCTGTATACGTGACATTCTTATGTTTGAATTTATTCTTCACTCCTGCTAGGTATTCGTTCAGATTTGTTTCCAAATCTCGTATCGAACAAGATGAGGGGACGCACCACCCTACTTTGATGGCATCTCTAGACTGCTGTGCGGGATCAGCAGATCTCTGTCACAAAGAATATAAGAAAAGAATTTATTTTATTTTATTTTATTTTGGAGAATTAGGCGATTCAACAGATAGACGCAGCTATCCACTAATAGAATTGCACAGGTTACAAATTTTGATCAGTATTAACTTAAACCAAGACAATGCTATAAAAGCCGTTCTAAAATCAAAATGTAAATAGCCCTAAAGGAAATGATATAAATATTTCCAGATCTAGGATAAGAAGTACTTATTTCGATATGCTAGACAAAATATACAAGGTGATTCTGAAATAGGTGGTCAAACTTTGGGAGCATATAGAGTAGGTGAAATAGTTACGAAAACCTCCGTAACATTTTTTTCTGACGTGACCCCCAAGAAAGATACAGCCCCTCGAAGGAGGGCCTCGGAGAATGATTTTGTATTATTATCTCCAACACCTTGTATTATGAAAATCCGAAATTTTGTCCATCCACTTACTATTCAGTGCCGGTTCGAATGGAGTTGAAATCACCTCAAAATTAAATACCGGGGTGTGTTAAAATAGGGAGGTAGGGGTTAAAAATAACCCCAACTTTTTTGTTCATCGCAATTTTAGTTTTTTTACATGAAATTATGAAATCTCAGGGCTATTTACATGAAAAAGGTGCTCTTGTTGCATCTCGATGAAATGAACTATTAGCGAATAAAATTTATTTTTTCAAGATTTGATTTAAATTGCGATTTCGGTATGTACTTTTGAGTTTAATTATCTAGGTCAAATCTCGCAGCTCAATTTTTACCTACTTCTGATCGTTTGATCAACTCAGAATCTGGCAGATGACAGTTTACAATGCGCGTTATGGCGGCTTCAATGTGGCTGACCAGATTTGTGATTATGGTTCGATTCGTTTCAAAATTGGTATGTGATTTTTTCTACCTCATCTTATTACATTTTCATACAATATAACTCCAACAAAATGGAACGTAGACTTTAACACTGAGTTAGAGAGCATAGCAGGAATGTAAGAGTATGTTCAATAGGATCAGACCATTATCACAAAACTCGTCGTCTATTTTTAATTCATGAATTCCGACAACGAATTGAAAATTTCCAACCCCAAAAATCCTTATAAACCAATTTTGAATCGAATCGGACCATAATCACAAATCTGGTCAGCCACATTGGAGCCGTCATATTTTTTTCTATCAAAAAGTCCATAACGCGTTGTCAACTGTCATCTGCCAGATTCCAAGTTGATCAGACGATTAGAAGTAGGTAAAAATTCAGTTGCAAGATTTGAACTAAATAATTAAACTTAAGTGCATACCAAAATTGCAATTCAAATGAAATCTTGGGAAAATAAATTTTATTCGCAATGGTTCATTCTATCGAGATTCAACAATAGCTCCTTTTCAATATTAATAGCCCTGATATTTCATAATTTCATGTGAAAAAACTGAAATTGCAATTTAAATGAAATCTTGGAAAAATAAATTTTATTCGCAATGGTTCATTCTATCGAGATTCAATAAGAGCTCCTTTTCTATATTAATAGCCCTGGGATTTCATAATTTCATGTGAAAAAACTGAAATTGCGATGAACAAAAAAGTTGGGGTTATTTGTACCCCCTACCTCCCTATTTTGACACACCCCTGTATTTAATTTTGAGGTGATTTCAACTCCATTTGAACCGGCACTGAATAGTCAGTGGATGAACCAAATTCTAGATTTTCATCGTACAAGGTGTTGGAGATAATAATACAAAATCATTCTCCGAGGCCCCCCTTTGAGGGGCTGTACCTTTCTTGGGGGGCACTTCATAAAAAAATGTTATCGAGGTTTTCATAATTATTTCACTCACTCTATATACTCCCAAAGTTTGACCACCTATTTTAGAATCACCTTGTAGAGAGTAATTGGAAAATAACAGAAAAAAAAAAGTTGGATCTCTAAATTATTCTAATCGGCATATTTTATGAACTATTATCAGGAAGTATCATAAACAACCTAGTCAGTGCAATTCATACATATATTGCATATTCAAAAATGGATGAGAAAAAAAGAAACGAAATCATTACTATCGGTTATACAACGCGGTCTTCAACTTTCTCTTGAAAATGTTTATCCTGGTCGAAAAAATATCAAATTCTTCGTCATCTAAACCATTACAAAACTTCATGCACCTATATAGTGGAGAATTAGACATGAAATTGGTAGTTATCCTACCAGGTACGAATAGTAGCCGATGTCGCATAAGATATCGGGTACACTTCAAGAGGAAAAAACTTGTACAGTATGGAGAATCAATAATGTCATTGACAATTTTATAGACAAAGCAGATATCAAAGAATTGCCTTCTCAAATTTAAAATTTCAAGCTTGTAAAATATAACATTACATTCATAAGAGAAAAAATGTCTTCTTTTGTTGGATCGAAAATTTAAAACATTTATTAATTTATGCTGTACTTTTTCGATTCTATTTATCTTATCCTTATAGAATGGATTCCATACTATTGAGGCGTACTCTAGGTGGCTTCGTACGATAGAGTTATAAAGTGTTATAATTGTTTCAGAGCGATTAAAGGATTTGGTGACTCTTAAAATGAAACCCAAGTTTCGTAATGCTTTTTGAACGATAGTCTCTATATAAGAGTCAAATTTTAATTTGGTGTCAAGAATAACCCCCAAGTCTTTGACTGAGTTAACGTTATTTATTGATTGTCCATTCAGTGTGAGGTCAAAATGAGGTGGCAATTTGCTTCTGGTGAATAGGATTTTGTGGCACTTATCAAGATTCAGTTTCAACTTGTTTTTAGTTCACAATATTTGAAGAAACTTTCAAGGTCAGTTTGGAGCATATTATAGTCTTCTATGTTGGTGATGGCTTTGTAGACTTTAAGGTCATCTGCGTATAGCTGTATATCCGTGTTTTCGAAGCATTCATAAATGTCATTTATAAATATATTGAACAAGAGAGGACCTAGATGTGACCCTTGCGGAACACCAGAGGTGACTGACAATAATGAAGATCTAGAATTATTCACAACGACATATTGCTTACGATTTTCGATATAGGACGAGAGTAATTTCAATAAACTTCCATGCACACCGAAATTACGAAGTTTAACAATAAGTGTAGGATGATGTACCTTGTCGAAGGCTTTCGAAAAGTCGGTGTACACAACGCAGGTTGAAATTCCTTTTTCCATGTTCGAGTAGAACAATAATGTAATATACTGTTTTGTTTTGCTCCTTCTGAGAACATAGACAGCATTCAAAATAATTCGAATTGTTTGAATCTTTGTAATTCCTATTCCACAGAATATACTCATGATATTTATTTTGTCTGTGTTCGACGTGGCAAATATCCAGGAAAGTAGTTGTTTTCTGTTGAATATTCTGAATGATATTATATGCATAGCTTTATACACTCACCGGCAAAAAAACCAGCCACCAAAAAATGTTCCTAAATTGTTCACCCTGAAACTTGTTTAATAATTGTCCGATTTTGGTGAAATTTCGATCAATTTGTAGATACATTTTCCGAAATATCAGCCTAGATATTAGTTTTCGTGAAAAGCTGATGACTTCATCATTATACAGGGAAAAACCAAAGTTGCTATTTCACCCTTTACTTCTTAACACCCTGTGGCGTAATTGAGTGGTTGAACTTGGCTTCACCATGCTTTGAATTGAAGTATCATCCCATCTCAACACAATACTTCCTCATTCACGTCAGTATCTTATTTTTAAGAGATGATACGAGTGTTTTTAGAAAGTATGGCATGTTTCAATGTTTATCAAAAATAATCAGAACCTAGATATACTTATAGATTAACAACTCAGAGAATCAATATCACTTATTTCTTCATCATTTTCTTAGCACTTACCGGAAAAAAACAAACACACAAAAGGCAGACCTGTAGTCAATAACGAGTATGCCGTCCTCAAGTTTGAATTGAAGCATTCGGGTTGATCAAATTTTTCGAGTAGTCTTGAAGAATTGCCTATAATTCTTGTAGAAGGGCGAATCATAGCTCTAGAAGATTCTCTGACAAGGCCGAACGAAGGCGAATGAGCATTTGAATTATTGTTATTGAAAATTACAAACGTACATATTTTCTTGAAACACTTGTATCTTCTCTTCAAAAGAAGATATTGACGTGAATCAAGAACTATTGTGTTAAGGAAGGAACGAAAGAGGATCACACTTCAATTCAAAACATGATGAATCAACAGGTTGGAGAATGGTTCTGAATTATTGTTAAGGAAAATGTAAAAAACATACTTTCTTAAAACACTCGTATCTTCTCTTTAAAAAGTGGTTATCGACGTTGATCAAACACCATAGTGTTAAACAGACATCACACTCTAATCCAAAACATATTGAAGATGAGTTTAACCACTGACCTTTGCCACAGGGCGTTATGAAGTTAAGGGTGGAAGAGTAACTTTTGTTTTTTCCTGTATAATGATCAAGCCATTATCTTTTTTGGCACCTACTATTCATGTTATGATTCTGAAACATAAGTATACGATTTGGCCAAAGTTTCACGAAAATCGGACAAGAATTAAAAAAGTTACAGGGCGGACGATTTGGCAAATTCTTGTAATTGCCGGTTTTTTTTTGCCGGTGAGTGTATGGAGGAGAATGCAAATTCTCTTCCAGCATGGTTTTCTCAAAGGCAGAAGCACAGAAACAGCGCTTTTCGATTTTGTGGATCAAGCTTATAACCTAATAGAATCAGATTCTTGTGCATGCGGTGTTTTATTAGATTTCAGTAAAGCTTTCGACTGTGTTGATCATTCCATTTTAATTCACCAACTCAACAATTATGGAATAAGAGGAAAGGCTCTGGATCTCTTGAAGTCAGATGTTATATATAAACAATTTACTGTGTATATTATAATATCGACAGATCAAACATCAGTTTATTTTGAATCAGTGTATTATAGATATACTAACCTGTATTTTTTGAAGTACCGAATCGTAAGGACTATAATACAACGAGAAAGGGTCCAGTCTCGACTTGGTTGAAGCAGTTTCAACTTTGATGGTAGCAAGGCAGTACTGTGGGGCGAACGGAGCCCTTGCTGACAGACATTGCTCGAAATTTCCCATTTGAAAAACGCTGCCTCGGAGAATCCCTGAAGAAGACTTCGCTGTGGCGTCCCACACTGAAAAAAGAATTCTCGAACATTTTGTTATGTTCAACAATCAACAACTGAACCTATATCATATCCAGGGCTACCAAATTATTTACATTCTCCTCAATTTGTTATACGTTTGAAAGAGAGAGAAACATAATTCCATAATAATTTAAAATTTGTTGATTCTTCCTATACCCGCACGCAATTGAGTTTGGGAAGTGTCATTTTCCCGCAGTAGTGCGGAAAATTGTTTCCACACAAGTGCGGGAAAAACATTTATATAATATTCTCGCAAAATATGAGTGGTGGGTGACATAATATGAAAATTTTTTGTTTTTTTTGTTGAAGTATTTAGTGAGGTTGTACAAAATCATCCATCAAATTGCACTATTTATTGTGAAAATGAGGATATATTGAAAAATAATAATTGATTGTTATATGAATGGGGTTATATCACAAAAAATTTGCATTTCATAATTCGATAGAACTCACCCAAACTAGCTCACCACCGCAAACCGTTTCTTGCTGTGAGCTCCCTACGTTTTATAAAAAATTATTGAAATCCCCGATTTTTCGGACCTCTGAAAACGAGGCGATGATGTGACGTCAAAACCCTAATACTGAAACAAGACTATTCCAGACAGAGATGAATGATACATGATTTCTGACAGAGTGAATTAGCGCGAGATCACAGTTTGAAGAATTAATATATCAGTTGCCTCAGTCTCCGTCGGGCGTTTGGTATTTTCTTTTAACTATATGGCGAGATGAGGTTTTTACGTCATAAGAGGGTCCGTTTTCAGAAGTTACTATTATTTATGTCCAAAAATAAAACATTCCAGTTAATTTTTCGATAGAATTATGTCGTCAATCATTATTTATGTATAAAATGATCATTATAAACATGGTTTGAGTTGAAAGTTCTACTAAGGTGTACACGCCCATTACTGTTATTTTAGATTCAGTGGAATTGCGATGAAAAACTTCCAGCAACTTTTTTTAATTCTGTAAAATTTGCCATTTCTCAACTAATTTCCTCCTAGGCGTACCCGAAAATTAAAATAAAACGAAAACTGTCAGTAAGTATATGGTCTAACTTCAAAAACCTGTTGATTCTGTTGAAAAATCATTATTCGAGGTGCGCTTCGTGCCGTTTTTCTCGAAACCGGGCAAATTTTCGAGAAAAATGATAAGGATCATTTTTGTAGAAAATTAACTGAACTTCAGTTTTTAGACGAACCGAAAATCTCTAACTGCCAAAGTTTAGGAGATATTGACTGAAAACCTATTTTTCTGGTCTTTTGGGGCAATTTTCTCCGCCATCGCACGCGTTTTTCAGTCAAACTTTGTCTCATGTTCAATGAGGTACCAAAAGGTACTTCCAACCGGAAGATGAAAATAGTGCGTAATTAATGTTAACTTTTTCCCTTTATTTATTGGACTATCAATTTCATTTTCGTGGGGGACACTTCAAATGCATATATTTTGAGTCCTCTTGGTTCAAATCCCTAGGAGGAGTCGTTGATGTTACGCTCCAAGCGATTAAAAAGAGGAGTCAAGATGCACATCATTCTGAAGGGCTTTAAATTCTCTCTTCAACTGTACCCTAGTTTAACCTTTTCACTGAAGCTTTTTCCTAGATGGCGCCCAGTCGCCATCTTGAAATTTTCATCTATCAATTTCACTCCAAAATATAATATTCATGCATCAATTTCATGGATAATCTCAAGTTTCAATTTCATGAGTTGACCCGTTCAAGAAAGAATAGGGAGGGTGGCGGGAATTAAAGAAAAGCACTGTATTTAGCGTAATCTGATTGTACTCACACCATATATTAATTCTGAGTATATATTTGCCGCCTCATAGTTGTGATGCAAGATATATTCAATGTTGATCACCCAGTAGCAAGACTATTATCCGGTCAGCACTAGAACAGTAGTACCTTTTCAATATGCTAGACCTAGACTTTTTATTATGATAGTGAATATAATATGTCTGAAAAATGAACAGATACATACATTTTCTTGTAGAGAATGTTTGCATTCATCGAATGAAATGTGGGTATGCTTGACGATAAGGTGTATTAAATGTCAGATACCAATCTCCAGAGCATTTTGAAATTGATCTTTTCGTGTTTTTCTAACTCATGATCATTCTAGTAGTTGATGGTAGTTGTGTTGATGTCATATATCTTCATAAGTATCAGCGGCCAGCTGAAATCTTAGTTCATTTGATAAAACTCTTGTGAATCGTTTCTTTCAAGATCCTAGACAAAGTTTGTTGAATTTCTACTTCAGATCCAACCTTTATTTTCTTTATCTTTTGAATTGCACAAAAAGGAGTCCCTATTATATGTTCATGTGATATCGTACATGGGTACCTGGGGTGGATAGGGAAAAAGGTACTGGCTTTTGATGCTATATCATTTCTCTTCACACAGATTACAGATATATATATTTTTCATTTCATGGGCTACTAGGTACTTCGTAAAACCATATGTGCAATAGGATGAATATCGATTAGTATCAACGGGAATTGGAAAATTCTCAGATTTATTCCTGACTTGTGTGATTATTGGTATAAGTTCAAAATATTACTCAGTATCGAAATCGAATGGGGTTGTGAAATCTATCCAGATTCAGTTAGAGCACCTCGAGCAGAAATCATACATAAAGCGGTGTCGTTTCTTCTGAAGTTCGTGTAAAGTCCTTGCTAAAAGCGCTCCACTGACTATAACAAAATATTTGAATTCACGCCATGATATATCTATTTTATTTTTCAAAAACACTAGCTCTTGATGGCGTAACATACATAAACACTATATTAATGCGTTTTATTCCTCAACAACCATTACACGTTTTCGGGGGTTTATTGAGTTTCCCTTGTTCCTCCATTTTCATAATGAAAACCCTCCATTATATTTTTTTTTATAGTTGTTTCATGATGTTGACATAACCTTTTTACTCCCGTGTGAGCACGCTCATTTTCGTTACTCTTGAATACTGTTCTAATCACGTACTTACTTTAATTTCAGGATATTGAAGTAATTCCTGATGTTAAGGCTGGTGATGGACATATAAATGTCCGAAACGTGCACCAATTTCAATTGATATAGGAATGACTTTCAATTGATGTGTTAATGACATTATATGTCGTGGAGATGACTTTGTGTATATAGTATTTAATACTTATTGACTATACACTTTGAGAAACAATGGACTTTTACCAACGATTGAAAAAAAATGATTACTAGCATAGCAGAAATGTTCTGAAATATACACAATACATAAATCATGTCGTATACAGTGCCAGTCTGAAATCCGTTTTCGTCCTACTAATTTTTGAACCACCTGGTACACCTCAGTGAAATTTTGAGCTAACTTTTTCATCAAAGAACGACAGCTCAATGTTTTGAAATGGTGTCTGAGCGCCATCTTGAATTATTTCTTTAAACGCAGCAACCCAAATACTATTCCATTTTCGAAATCTTCTCATAATTCTCAACAGATTCATTCTATTTTTCATCTCTTGGAGCGCACGAAAGGAAATGCCTATGATGTTCGAAGAACATCGTGCGCGTACCAAGCAAAAACTCAAGTTTGCTATGGAAAAAATGAAGATGACGACTTTTTTCCATAGAAAACTTGATTGGAAACAACTTTCGAGTTTTTCGTTGCGTTTCAAATGACCAAAATGTCATTTTTTTCAAGAATTATGAGAAGATTTCGAAAATTGAATCCGCGGGGTGTTCCATTTAAAAAATATTCCAAGATGGCGCTTAGTCGCCATTTTTAAACTTTAGCTGTCGTATTTTCGTGAAAATTTAGGTTTTATATATTATTCAAGTCCTTCGAATCTCGTTGCGACATACAAGGTGGTTCAAAAATTAGTAGGGGGGGGGGGGCGATTCGTTGACGGGCACAGTATAATTTTGCAATGGATTGATCGCGGTCTATGACGTCACGCGTTGTACCGCGTTTTTCATGTTATCAAATATCGTGAATTTCTATAATTGAAATATGTACCGAGGTCTGAGCAGAAAACGGTTTGCGACAGTGCACAAGTTTGGGTAGGTACTTCTAAATAATGAAATTGAATTTGTCACTGAAAAGGGTCCATTCTATATAAAATGAATTGAAATCGTTAGTAGTAATAATGTACCTTATTACTTAGGATTCGAGTAGAATTGCTTTCATCTACTTCTTTTTTACAGAATTCACAAATGTTGCTAACTAAAGAAATGGCTGATTATAGTCTCAACATGAGTGAAAGGATTCCTTGAGATATTCGAGATTACATCATCCGTGAAAGATTATCTCAAACGGAGGTGGTTATGATTCCTCGATGAATAGAAAAATATTCCGAAACTTATTTTTGAACTTACTTTCATGTGCCCACAAAGTGAAGTTCTTTAGATTATCCAAATATAAATCACTTTCTTCTCTACACACTGTATTAGCAGTTTTCGACACTGCCACCGGTAATGGCGGAAAAATCGACCATTGTGAAACATCGTTTTCATTAAAACTACACTTCACATCACCTATCAAACTTGTGCACAAAAAAAACAGAAGCACTAACATGACCTTTGAATTGTGGTTCATGCAATTTACCAAAGTGAATAAGGAAGGAGCAAAATGAAGAAAAATGTACGTAGGAAAAGCTTTTATAACTTGTGAAGGTATTGTGTCCTTCATATCCTTGACGAAGCATGTCTCGTTGAAGTTAATTGTCTGTGCACGAGATAAATAATCTAATTTTCATATAAATTTAATTGTTAATAAAATAATGACATGCTAATTGATAAATCGATCTGATTTATTCGTATTGTTTTTAACGAGATGAATAATAGAATATTCCGTGATGTATTCCACTATTCTTCCAGGATAGGAGAATCTTGACAGTAGCATTTTCACAACGACTTCTCTTTCGGTTTATACAGACTGATTGGTTAGCCGAATGGGAATGTATATACATACACACTAGCCGAATTTAAGCCATATTGGTTATTATGATCATTCCATGTACTCATAATATTTATTTTGAAATTATCAAATTTTTTATCAATAATCAAAATGACCACTTCTTAGGAACGCTTGCTCTCGATGACCATACCGATATATATATATTGTATACACAGGGTGAGTAAAATGTGTATTGAGCTTTCTGAAGGTGATAGTACATCGAAAACTAAGTATAGTTGGATTTAACGAAGACTGGAACCATTGGCACGATTATACACTGAAAACACTGTTTTACCACTAACCAAACCGATTTTTTACACCTCGATACGTGTTTCGCTAACTATGTTAGCATCTTCAGGAGAAGATTAAAACTATTTATTGCAAAAAATGTATGTTCACAAAATACATTTCTCTTCTACATTTCAGATATTGTCATAAAGGGTGTTTTTAGAGGGTGTGTCATGATTTTTTGGAGACAACTTTTTTCCTTGTAGTCTTATTGGTGAAAAAACAGGAGCATTTGATAAAGAGAAAAACATTAAGCACATAAAAACGGTACTTATACAAAGAATGTAACTGTTTTCGAGATACTTGAGTTTTTGTAGTGACACGATATTAGCAGATAAATTCATCAGTAACCTCAAACTTCTTGGCGGGCCACTATATATATTTTTCGTTTTGAAACATTCTTTTTCACGCAATTTTTGCACAATCCTCGTAATTGTTCAAAAGTGTCGAGCGGGAAACATCTCTGCATAACGGCGTATAACCTACCATTTCTTAAAACCTCAGTAGAAAACCGAAGTAATAATACTATTAAGCGAAAAAGCCAAACAAGGAAATAAACAATAACAATGTTGGTGTCATTAACGTCAAAATAGAAAAACAAAATTGGTCATGGCCTCCTAAAATATTGTTACCGATGACGAAGAAGTTGTCTTCAAAAAATCATGACTCATCCTCTGAAAACACCCTTTATAACGAAATCATAAATGTAGGTGTATGTCAGAAAAATGTATTTTTTCTACTCACATAACTAAAATGGCATTTAGCGTACGGATATGTACCACGCTAAATGATCGATTAATCACGAATTGTCGATCTGTGATTTATTCAGAATATTAAACACGTTACCATGGCAACACGATTTCTTAAACACATTCACCATGGCAACACAGTTCATTAAACACAGCTTCAGTAGTTTGAGACATGTCTGGCCTGTCAGTTGTATTAACTGTCAACTATTATTTTCAAATTTTGTATCAGAATCATTCAAACAATATTCGTTTGTATCAGAATTCTTCATTAAAAATATATGCGAAAAGTATAGACGAAAGTGAAATCGGAGAGAATGTTCTGGTACTTGCATATCTCCAAGAAGTGTAAGAATGAAGCATCCATCTTTGAGAACAATATATTTATTCTGCGCTAAGCATGACAATAAACGTGAAACAAAGGTTAGTAAGCAATGGACTGAACACATCTACAACCAATATCACTTATACGTGTCTCGCTGGTTGTATGCAGTTGCATGTATTATGTTCTCAAGTCCCATTCCTTTCGAATTATTTTGTAGGTTAGCAAGAATAGCAGGTATGTTAATGTTATTTTCGGAGTTCGTAGAAAAATCATAGTATGTAACGCGTTTATAAACTCTTCTAGACACTCGTTTATTAAACACTCGCTCCGCTCTGCTCCGCTCGTGCTTAAAATACTCGTTACTAAAAGGACGTTTATAACACTTGTTACATAATATACTATTAACAACATAAATCCATGCAGATAATTTCAATATGGTGTCTTTCACTGTTCAGAAGTTAAGCAAAAAAATTATTTCAATTTCATCAACTTTGTTATTCATGGTTTTATTTGACAAAAATATGATCATTAATCGATTATTGATAGAATCACGATTCTGTATAAAATCAAAAAGAGTGCTACCAAGCATTCTATATGATGTCTACGGTAAACTCTTAATGAAGGCTATGTCCACTATTTTAAAACAGTCCCCTCAATATTCCTTTCATCATATACATATACATATACAGGGTCCGGCAACAGGATTGTATTTTTTTGAAAAGGTTGCTTTGGGAATACTGTTTATTTCACAAACATCAATTAGTAATAAAAGTGTAGTTTATTATTGAAGGTTTTGTGTTACAATGGCAAATTGGCCGGTTAATCAACGGATCTATATTGGCTGGTATAATCGTTTATCCTGACCCAGTCCATCGTTCAAACCCATGCAGAGGCATTTTCACCGTGAATTCAATTTTTCTCCAAATGACATTGAAAGTGGCTTTTTAATGACACTTGACAGGCAGAAAAGGTGTACTTTTACTGCCTAGGCAAAAAAAGTTTGTTGCTATGCAACGTTTCAAGTAATTTGAATCCAATTGGTAATCAAAATTGACAATGACTTTGGGTGAACAAAAAATGATGGATTATTTGGACTTTGCGTGAAATTGAAAAGAATTTGGAGAAAAAATTGAATGCAGATGTAATGCCTTGGCTACGCCTAGGCTAAGAAACGCCAGCCGCGGCATTATAGATCTTGTACTTTTCTGCCTAGTAAAACAAATAACTGGCAGTGCGCGCCCCATCAAGCAATGTAATATTGAGTGTACACTGCCCTTTCGACTACATCTCTTAAGGTGGATTCATGCAACATCAACTTAAATTATAATGAATTTAAGATTTAAACGAATTTTAAATTAAAAATATATGGGTGTTCATGCAATAACCTTTCATCAGCTGTTTATTCTTTTTCCAGCGCGGCTAGTTATTATTTGGCGCATGCGTTGTCCTGAATTATGGAAGAAATTAATTTCTTAGTTGAATGTTGGCCATCTTTCTTAGTTTTAATTTTAGTTTTAATTTTTTAGTTTCTTGCATGAGCACCTACATTACATTTCATAGTGTTATATTATTGGTTTAAGTTTAAAATTCATTTAAGTTTTAAATTTTGCTTGCATGAATCCACCTTTACTCATCTCAAAATTGTATTTCTTGATGGGACTTCTGGCGGACACTGTCAAATTAAATTCACGGAGAGAACGCCTCTGGGTTTGCACGATGGACTGGGTCAGGATTAATGATTTTGAAGCAAGTTCCGTTGATTAACGGTTCAATTTGCCATTGTAACACAAACTTTTCAATGATGAACTACAATTTCATCACTACTAGACGTTCGTAAAATAAACAATATTTCCACAGCAACCTTTCAAAATCCATCCAATTCTGTTGCCGGAACCTGTACATATATGTCGAAAGGAATATCGAGGGAACTGTTTCAAGCGCACTAGGAATAGATTATTGGACATAACCTCAGACACGTGTTTCAGGCTTTCGACCCTCATCAGTATGGTGAAAGAAGTGCAAAAGATAGGCTACACTTGGTGGAAGACGAAACAACAAATGGGCGGAATCAACAAACAGAAGCCAGCCGCACAATTGTGGTTTCGGTCAGAAGACCCTGCATTTTCAGGGCTACAACTGACGTCACCCTGGAGGCAGCTATAGCTACCTGCTTTAAATCCGAGTCCAGGGTCTTCTGACTGAAACCACAATTGTGCGGCTGGCTTCTGTTTGTTGACTTCGTCGATTTGTTGTTTCATCTTCTACTAAGTGTTGCCTATCTTTTACACTTCTCTCGCCGTACTGATGAGGGCCGAAAGCCCGAAACACGTGTCTGCGGTTAAATCTTCCTGATGGCTATGTCCAATATACATATATGTGTATGTTTATGAGGTTTATGTAATTACGTATCTGTCAAGTTGTTGAATCCTGATGAAGTTGATGTTTTTCAATCCTCTGAATTATATCATCAATATATCATACAAATGAAACTAACTAAATACCATAAGAACATTATGATAACAGCGATATATCGTTCACCAGCAACCTGTTCAGATTCTTTTATTGATAATTTGCGTGAATATCTATCGACGTGTGATAATACGATGGACTTGCACTTGATAATCTGTGACATTAATATTAATATTCTTGGAGATGATGACAATATTGCTGCTAATTATTTGAATGTTTTAGCTGAGTACGACTTCGTATCAGCTATAAACGTACCAACAAGGGTCGATGGTTCCACGGAAAGTTGTATAGATCACTTATTTGTAAAGCAAAGAGGTACAGAATTCAGTCACTGTCCAATATTGCTTCAAACCAAAATAACTGATCACTACCCTATTATAATCAGAACCATATTACCTGAAAAAAAGGAAGTTTTTAATAATAATGAAAATTATAATTTTTTTCTCGATAAAAAGAAACTAAAAATAGAATTGAAGCACGAACGATGGTTGGATGTTTTCAATTGTGCAGATTTGAATACTTCGACAGAAATTTTTCTGAGTAAACTTGTTTCACACATAGAATATTGCACAAAAAAAGTAAAACTCAAACATAACACAAGAAAAAGAAAGGTATGGTTTACAAACGGCTTACTTGCTTCGGTGAGACAAAAACAAAGATTATATGAAAAATTTAAAAGGTATCCCACTGAACAGAATGAAATTGCTTTCAAACAGTATAGAAACAAACTAGATAACTTAATCAAGACAACAAAAAAGAACTATTATCAATCGAAAATTATACAAAATAGAAATGATACAAATGGGTTATGGAAATGCGTCAATGACCTATGTCCAAAGAAAAACAAAACTACTAAAATTTCTGAAATATTCGGTGCTGATCAAAATATCAAAAGTAACGACGGTGATATTGCGAATGAATTTGTCTCTTTTTTCACGAGTGTTGGTAAAGAACTAGCAGAAAAAATTAAAATAAAAAATGCAATAAAATATAACACAAAAAAACTTAGAAATTCAATCTATCTAGAAGATACCAATGAGAGTGAAATCATTGAGACTGTGTATACATTGAAAGACAAAAAAGCTCCAGGAATCGATGGTTTGAAGAGTGAAACAATAAAGGAAGTAATACGATATTTGGCACCTCCACTCACATATTTAATCAATAAATGCTTTCATAAAGGTACATTCCCAGATGTTTTGAAAATAGCGGTCATTAAACCTCTTTATAAAAGAGGAAACGAAATGGACATGAATAACTATAGACCGGTTTCTCTAATAAGTACAGTAGCAAAAATTTTTGAAAAAATAATGAAAAAGAGATTTGTAAATTTTTTCAATAAATATAAAATCATTTCGGACAAACAATATGGGTTTAGAGATGCCAGATCGACAGAAGATGCAGTAACAACTTTAACAGGGCGTATTTACCAAGCACTGAATAAGAAAAAGACATCACTCTGTATCTTCGTCGATCTGGCAAAAGCATTCGATACAGTTAGTCATGTCCAGCTACTTGAAACACTAGAAAATGTTGGCATTAGAGGAATACCACTACAATTGATCACAAGCTATCTGACAAATAGACAACAATGCGTTAAAATAAATACTACTCATAGTGATTTCAGAACAATAGAGTATGGTGTTCCTCAAGGGACTGTGTTAGGACCCCTCCTATTCAATCTATATGTGAACGATCTTTTCGAGTTGGAAACAAAAGGTGATATAATGAGTTTTGCTGATGATACGGCCGTTTTTTATGAAGGCGAATCATGGCAGAGTATGAAAGCAGAAGTGGAGACAGACTTCAAAAGAATTATTGAATGGTTTAATTATAAGCTCTTGACAGTAAACTTCGAAAAAACTTATTTCATCCCATTCACATCATACCAGAACAATTTACCTGAATACAATTCACTCGAAATCCCATGTGATACTCCTGTGCGAATAAAATCTGCTAATAAAATCAAGTACCTTGGTGTTATTATCGATACACATCTCAAATGGAATGAACATGTCAAGTATGTCACGCAAAAACTAAGATGTTTGTTACCAAAAATGAAAAAAATGTCAAATATACTGAACTCAGAACAAGTCAAAATTATATACTCAGCACTTGTTGAAAGTCATCTGATTTATGGAATAACTTCTTGGGGAGGAGTTACAAATTCGCATTTGATCAACCTACAAACTATACAAAAATATATCCTTAAGATTTTATTGAAGAAACCTTTCACTTACCCGTCTGATATTCTATTCAAAGAAAGTAAATGCTTCGATCTGCGGCAGTTATTTTGTTATAGACTGTTACTGAGACAACACAAATATAGAGCTGATTTGATTCCATATAAGCATAGTTATGATACTCGTAAACAACAATCTTCTTCAGTTATCCCCAGAGCGGAGAAAACTATTTTCCAAAGATCTTACAATTACTTAGCCCCAAAGATATATAATTGCCTGACCACAGAATTGAGAGCAATCCAATCATTTCCATTATTCAAAAAAAAAATTAGGGATTGGCTGCATCTAAATCCACGAAGCTTTATTCATGGCCTTATTGATTTAAAAAATAATTGAATGTGATATTTAATTTATTGTTCTTATTTTAAACTTCGTACGCTATCATCTTTTATATTTCATCCTTACACATACTATCATCAACTAGTTCTTATAATTTTCGTTTTTTTTTTTTTGATGATTTTATAATAATTCATGTTTCAATGTCAGAGTGCATACAAAAATCAGATTGATATGTATTAACATATGTCTCCATACTCAAGGTTCTGCCTTACATGGACAGTGTTCATTTATTCACCTGATTTTATGTATATACTAGGTACTCTAAATATTAGTTTCGTACAACAACTATTGTATTTTATATATTGTATTCTTGTTTTTTTTTTTCTGGTGAATAAATTATTATTATTATTAATTATTATTATTATATATCTCCAAAAATTGCATTGCTTTCATTTCATGCATTTCATTTGTTATGATATATACTATGAGTTATCTTTTTTCAAGTTTATGCGTATAGGCAGGAGTAGGAAATTACAAAAAAATACGTGAAACATATTAAACGTTTATAAACATAAATTTAACGACTTTTACATGTATAAAAGCACTGACATCCTTAGGAATGTAGGTAACAAATGGAAGAAAATATAGGGATTCAAATGAAAAACGACGTCTCTTCGGTCCAGTCGTCTATTACAGGTCCAAACGATTCGTTGAAAAACTTATCGATTTCCTTGTACATGTGCAATAATGCGTTCTTCTGAAAATCATGGTCTTCATCTGGATATTCCTACAAAAACAATAGAATAATCAAGAATTGAGTAACTAGTTATGAAGGGAAGTTAGGAAGACTGTGACTGGAGAGTCAAATACAAAACTCCTGTACAGAATAATATGAGCCAAAAAAACAGGGCGAACCTTCCGTATTGTTGAACAGTACATTCCATTATTCGGGACAATCTTGTTGTTGAACAGTGTATATTACAAATTCGATCTTGCTTATAGGAAATCCTTCAATACTATTTGTTTGTATAGGTACTGTTTTTGATGATAAACTATTACTCCACCTTGCTCTTGATTTGATACGTTCTGAATTTATGTATAGATAAAAAGCAACCTTAGTTCTTTGCATCTATAGGAAACATATTATTTCTGAAATTGAGTTTGTATCACTCCATGTTCTATTGTTTTTGGCACAGTTGTCCATCATACTGTCCTCGTTTCTTGTATAGTATGACCTTTTATTTTCACGTGCTAGCCTCGGTGTTATTTTTATAGGTACATGTAGGTATAATTTTGAACCTTTAATTTTTCTGATTTGCAATAAGCCTGATTCCCAACTTGAGTTGAGTGAAATCATGAAGGAGGTCTTTGAGGATTAGTGCTACATCAGTTTTCAAGAATATAATTAGTCTCTCCTTGATGTCTTTCGTGTACCGTTGATGAGTTTTAGAATATTAGATTATTGAGAGTGATTAATCTTGTTATAATTTTTATGACATTTGTGAATGTAGTTGATAACAACAATTTTAGAGGGACATCAAGTTTTGATGACGATAGGGCTCGATGAAATACTATTATCTTTTTTGTGAACGTACCTATATGCTTCAAAACGATACGGAAGTGAGATGATCGAAAATCTAGAATATTTCAATATTGTTGTTGTTGAAAGAAATAGCTCTGAGACTTTGTGGGTACCTACATAAAAGAGATAACATTTTGTTTCACATACAGGGTGTAAATTTTTGTGTACTGTTGATAACAACTACGATAGAACTGTTTTTCAGAACGCCACTGTCCTAATTTACATACATTTAACAATTCTACCAGATTCTACTGTCCAATTTCGAAATATTAAACCACCAGATTATTCTCGATATTTCTTGTTCTGTCTTGGAAAATATTTGATGAAATTTGAATTAAATCAGTTCAAAATACGTGATTGCTGAATTCTTGCTTGTTCCTAATTTGTCTGCCATATTCAATCCGCCATATGGAATTCCCCAATTTTGAGAAAAGCATCATAATCTCTGACCCTAAAAATTCACAGTCACCAATTTTGAATAGAATATAGATATTATAGATCATATAATTACTAAACTCGTCCACTATATTGGATCCGCTATTTTGAATTTCCCAATTTTGACGAAAGAATCATGCATAATCTATAACCTCAAAATCCCCCAGATAGCAATCTTGAATGAAATAAATATTTAGGTAAATATACGACATGTGAAATAAATGAGAAAATGCATTTTTTCAAATGTTGTACATAATACCCATTTAAATTTTTTCGGTGTTATTCAAATTTCCTCATGTTAATGATGTATCTGAGGGTATTTCTTTCCTAAACTTTCATGCCCAATCAAGGAGTTGAACGATGGACATTTGTTATTTTTATAGACATCTAATCGCAGATTCGTGAAAGGGTTTTCTCAATTGATCATTCCTTTCCACGCCCTGTAGCCTCTGTATGATGAATATCAAATTGTCATGCATTCAAACGAATACAAGTGAACCTAATGAAAGCGTGTTAATTAAAAATAAAAAGACTTGCATGTTTTCGTGTTACGTTTCCGAGATAGAAAGTATTGAGGCTCAAACAAGAAAATAGTATTTTAGTCAGAGCTCACAAACCATTCCTTCGTCAACATGGAGAGTTTGAAAAACTCTGGTATTAAAAAAAAGGTAAATAGTGAAAAAAATAGTGATTATGTCGATTGGATTTCCATTTTGGTATAGATGTTTCTCATATCTTTTAGGTTCACAGTTATACAATAGTGTCATTATCAACAACATTTTTGTGAATATCAATAAATAGTTCTATAGAAATCGCAAGGTTGAGAAATCCTCATGATCTCCTAATAGTATTGTATATCTACATATATCTTACCAGTTGTTGAAATAATAGATCCTGATCGATCAATGCTTTGGCTAGCATTATCGAGTGTTGTGGTGTTATCAGAGTGTCAGCAGTACCATGGATCAGCAGGAAATCACGCCCATTCAAATTGGCCGCCTTCATGGTCAAATCGGCATTATCATATTCTTGTAAGTGTTTCGATGGTGAACCCAAATATTTTTCAGCAAAATATGAGTCTGAAAAAAAAATAGACGGTCAAAAGCACATTGTCTGAATGTGCGACGAATAATATACTCACTGAAATATCTCCAGTTGGAAATGGGCGAGATGCTCACTGAACAGTTGATGACTTGGTGGAAATCCTGCATCAACATCATGGCGGATACGTAACCTCCGTATCCTTTGCCTACGGTGCATATCTTGGTCTTGTCGATATATTTGAACGTGTCCCTCAAATAAGACAGGACCTGCAGCTGGTCTTGCACTTCTATAAGGCCTAACCGCCGTTGAATCTCTCTTCTCATCTTGACACCTTGGAAGCCAGATCCCCTGGCATCGATCTGCGCTACTACGTAGTTCCTGGTACTGGCCAGGTACCAGGGCCAGGATACCTCCCATTTGGAGGATACGCTTTGCGAATATGGAGATGCGTCACTGAAACAAAGACATGTTTTTGCTTTGAAAAGAATACCCTACCATCCATAAAAAAAGAGGAGGATATTTGCTTCCAAATTTATCTGGCTGAAAGAGATGGGATTTGATCAGATACATGTGTTACTGGATACACGTGAGTAATGATTGATTTGCATGGGGTTTTACGATGAAAATCAAATTATCAAATATATTTTTTCAGGAAGCAATATCTCCACCCCAAAATTTTAAACATAAACAAAGAGAAAATACTAGGAAATGTAGTAAATTGAATATTGCACCTCCTCGATCAACCTACAGAATATATTAAACGAATTAATCTACTGAGAGGCAATAAATACTGGGGTAAACTCTGAGCTGGTAGATAGATAACACAAATGGATGTTACACAGCAAGCTCAAATGATATGTAATATGGGATATGTTCCGTTAATCAACCGAGGTTATATACCGATGCTTTCAGGACCGGTACCAACAATTTTGACAGTGGTTATCTACTGGTGACTACGGTTGAGGTTTATTTACGGAATGCCAGTCATTTGTCAAATTATAGTTCTGTTCGGTTTTGCTCTGCCAGTATTTGATTTTCAATTATGGCACCCAAATGTTCCAAATTTTTGTGCACAGTCAGCACAAGCACACAAGGACTTGGTGTCCACATAGGAAAAAACGTCTGAAATTATATCGAAAATTATTAATTTACCTCAGCAAACGAATCTATCAGAACTTCACGCATTCATTAAAATGGAAATATTGTTTTTCATTGTAATTTGTAAATCGAAGAATCTTACCGGAAACTAAAACACGTCAACGTCAACTCAAACTTAACGAACTTACCAGAGAAAATCCACGGACGTTCTGGTGACAGTGAATCTACCGCTTTTTCAGCACCCGGGTTCCGTAAATAGCCGTTTTTTTCAGGAACCAACCGAACATTTCATATTTACGGAACGGAAAACTATCAACCGAAATAACCAAGTTGATTTACGGAACTCATCAATGGCTTCTTAATTATTCAACCAATGTTTTTATGACGTTATCAGAACATATTGACATTTTATTACTTCACCAATATTGAATAAACCCAAGTATTATTTCACCGATGTTGGCCATTGTTTGTTTTTTTTTTTCGAGGCAGCACTGTTTCTAGAATATTTGACTAATATTGGTCAAAACATATTCAACCAATGTGAAGTCTGGTTAGTGCCTAAAGCCTGAGAAAGTCTCTAGACTTCAGAATAATGATTATTGAGGTTATTGAGTAAGTTCAATGGTTGTCGGTAGGTATATCGAGAACGGAACAAGTTAGAACAATATTTATTTGTTTTACTAGGAAGCAAAGTAGTTTAGATTGACTGCCGTGGGAAACATATAATTTTTTTCTCCAAACGTTATAGAACCAATTTTGTGTAACTTTCTCAGCGAAAAATCCATCATTTTGTGTACACCCAATGTCAGTGTCAATTTTCAATACCGATTTCATTCAAATTACTTGGAGAGTTGCATATCAACAAATTTTGCCTGCCTAGGCAGAGGAAGTATACATTTCCTGTCTGTTGAGTGTCAGAGAAAAGCAACTTTTTATGCCGTTTGGAGAAAATGGTTATTTTTCTGCAACCGACACAAAAGTCGTCTATTTTGAAAACAAAATTAGCTATTAAATTGACGTTCCTATTACTGACACAGAAATAGGTATGTTGCTAGGCAACATATTTAGTTCCTAGGAGCTAAAGTTGAATTTTAGTTCCTAGGAGCTAAAGTTGAACTTTGGGTCCTAGGAACTAAAAGGGATGTACTGGACGTCATCAAGAATAAACAACATTGTGACGGTTTGTTATTTGGGCTGAGACGCATACCTGATTTGTTTCCGATTTCAGCAGATTAGGCATTTCATACCCATGCTGGAGATATAAATACACCTTATTATAGTTTAGTATTGGAATTATAAACATCTGTTAAGTGTTTCTGTTTTGATCAGGGAAGCCTTCAAGATTCAAATATACTTGCTTGATCTGTATTTCATTCGTTATTCTCGGAATGGATAACTTGTTTTTGTATAATCACAGCAAGCAATAGTTTTTTTGTCTCAAACAACGATATTGTTTAGCTTCATCTGATTATCAAGTCAAACACAGTTTAGTATGGAGAGGAATAAATAATCAGTATTATCATTGTTGATATGCTCACTAACCTAACATTTTCCACGTCTTGTTCCTATAGCTGGCACTGGCGCGGTATTTGCCATTAGAGCACCTGGTCCATATACAAATATGTCACTCTGTGGTTGTTCTCATGGTGAAAATACTAATTCCACCATGGTTATATTTATATTGAAACTACAATTCGAACATCCTTGAAAACCAAACCTGCTGTTAATGCAGGTAGAATATTCTCACCACACGGATTATTTGTCAATATTTGTTGCATTGCATACATATGGCACGGCAATGGTGGATACTTCACATATTTATTTGAGTTAATTGTTTCGGTTGCAGAAAAAATAGCATGTTTTATTCGGATCAAAAGTTACTTTGTTCGACTCGCAAATTTTGCTTTCGCTCGGCTTCGCTAAACGCTCCGCCTCGCAAATGCAAAATTCGCTTGTCAAACAAAGTGTCACTTTTGATCCTAATAAAACAATATACTATTGTTTTACTAGACAGAAAAGTAGTAGATTGACTGCCGCGGCTGATAGTTTATTCAGCCAAGGCAGTCAATCTACATTTGCTGCCGTGTGGAACATAGCATTTTTTCTCCAAATGATATAAAACAAATTTTGTGTAATTTTTTTATTGAAAACTCCATCATTTTGTGTTCACCCAATGTCAGTGTTAAATTTTGATTACTAATTTCATTAAAAGTTGCATAGTAACAAACTTTTCCTGCCTAGGCAGTAAAAGTACACATTTTCTGCCTGTTAAGCGGCAGGAAAAAGCCACTATCCCTGCCGCTAGGAGAAAAAAAAATGTATATGCACTTTTTGACAAGAAATGCCCTCTTGAATTATTTCGTACCTCTTCATTATATGAATGATAATGCAACAATATCGCTGCTATATCATTGAGTATTCGCACTTCTCCTCATACAATATGACATAGAATCTTTTAATACCAGCGTACCTATTTCAATTATGAGTGATATAACAACAATAAAGCTGAATGTTCACATGATTTTCTCGCTAATATTGCGTTCACATAGTTTGCCAATATTTTTGTAACATTCGTCTTATATACTTGGAAAATAATCTGAAAGGACTTACACAAGAAGAACAAGTGGAAAAGTAACATCTTCGTACTCCCTCAGGATCCCAGGAAGATAGAGTCTCACTTGCGCCTTGAAGCCGTACTCAATCTCAACAGAGATAGTCTTCGTCTGTGGCGGCGATATCTTCCTAATTTTTTTCCTAAGTTTTAAACTCGTATCTAAAATAACTCTTCTAGTGTTGGACGAAGTTTTCACCAGCAGCACAATAGGAATTTCTGGTCCCAAACATTCTTGAATATAATACTTAAAATATTTACTGAATATCACATTGTTGTAATCACAGGGATAATCTAACCATAGGCTATTGTTGATCTTGGTGTCGTTGATGTCTTCGGAAAATGTAGAGTTCATGTCGATTTCGGGTCTGCAGGTCATGCATTGTGGCGAGCTGTCTTCGGTAATTCGGATTAGATGGCGAACCGATGGAGAGCTTTCAGTTGTCCCTATAGCATATCTGAAAAAGACAATGTATCTCTTTCAAATTGACTAGCAGCCGTCTATCAAATGTCACATGTCATAAGTCATCTGTCAGCTATCGATTGTTCAGCGAGCACCAGAAGGTATTACGTTAGCTGTCATCCGCTAACTGTCGTACTTTAGATGTTATAGCAGTCTCTGATTGGTTAGCTGAGCTAGATAAAGATGTGGGGTGGTCTCACCAGTCACATCGTTTATTCGATTTTCAATTTTCATTCGGCATGGGTTTTCTCAGACGCCCTGTTTATCATAATATGTACAGGGTGATGTCAATTTGAAAACTTTCAATGCGAATATCTCGCGAAATAGAAAAATTAGGAAAACGCCGTTTGGCACAAATGCTAAAGAGTTAGGAGAACTAGAACCCCAACTTTGAAATGTCAAATGACACTAGTTTTTTTTGTGATACCTCAAATGAACGGTCTCAGTCAGTAGTATCCACCTGTACAAGACTTTTTTTCCACCCACTACAGGGTGTACGAAAAACAAAGTTGAGGGTGTATATTTGAGAACTTTCAATGCGAATATCTCGCGAAATAAAAAAGTTAGAAAAACGCAGTTTGGCACAAATGCTGAAGAGTCAGGTGGTACTAGAACTACCATATTTCAGTGAAGGGATGAGTCACCTCGTCGGCGCGACACACCCCAACTTTGAAATGTCAAATGACACAACCTCTTTTGTGATTGTGATACCTCAAATGAACGGTCCGAGTCAGTAGTATTCACCTGTACAAGACTTTTTTTCCACCCACTACAGGGTGTACGAAAAACATAAAGTCGAATAAAATAAAATGTAGAATGCAGATCTATTTCAAGAGATGTGTTCCAAAATGTTAGAATGGCATTTGAACATCGATTATACTATTGCTTACAACAGAATGGAATGCATTTTGAACATCTGATCGAATAAAATATTCTTTTAACACAATTCATTTTATTTTATCCGACTTTATGTTTTTCGTACACCCTGTAGTGGATGGAAAAAAAGTCGTGCAGGTGAATGCTACTGACTGAGACCGTTCATTTGAGGTATCACAAAGGTGGTAGTGCCAGTTGACATGTTAAAGTTGGGGTGTGTCGCGCCGACGGGGTGACTCATCCCTTCACTGAAATATGGTGGTTCTAGTTCCCTTTAGCATTTTTGCCAACTAACTTTTTTATTTTGCGAGATATTCGCATTGAAAGTTTCCAAATTTACCGCCCGGATATTCAATCTTGTATTTCAAATGTGTTATCACCGTTCCAATAATTAGCTTGCGATTTGCTTGCTCGTCGACTTCGCTGCATGAAAAATGTAATTTGTTTTTTGTTGCCCTGACCATTGAGCATTTTTGATTTAAATGAAAACCTAGTTAGAAGGCGAGAGGTATAATATTGTCTGTTCATTGGACCATAAATTTGTCTGCCTGTCAATGGCACTAATTCACTGAAAACATCGAGAGCTCATTTGTTTCAATAGAATATTTTTCAAAATTGACAATTTCAGTTTGAAGTTTTCAAAACGTTACCTACCTCAAACAAATTACAATTTTGATATGATTGTCTGATTTCAAGTTCCTTTCCAATACTTCTATACACCATACCCAAACAAGAAGTTCAAACTCGGACCATGGAACTTATCTTTATAGACCTCTAATCGCAGATTCGTGATTAATGATAATAATAATGATAATAATATCTTTATTTTCCATCTGACAATTGGAAATTGTGTTGGATTCGTCATTACAGGTGGAGTAGATATAAAAGTTATAGATAAGATAGATAAAACAAACACAAATAACTTGAAACTACAGTTATACATCTAAAATACATTGAAAATTTACATGTTTCACATTTGTTGATATTCCCCTATAGAATAAAAACATTTTTTCACTAGGAAATCCTTTTAATGATCTTTTGAAACTGAAAAATGTATCATTTCCTTTCATTTCATCGGGTAATAAATTATAAATTCGGGGAGCCATTGCTATAGAAGAATCATAATGAATTTTCGTATTACCATGTATTACTAAACGGAATATAAAAGTGATCTTTTTGGCGTGTATTGTATTCGTACCTTGAATTATTAATCTTGAAGATATTTCGATTTTTATATACATAAAGACAGAATTCAAGAATTAACAACGATGGTAGAGTCAGGATTTTCAAGTTTTCAAAGTGGTTCCTACAAGAAGAGCGTTCTGATATTCCTACGAGTGAACGTATAATAATTTTAAATATAAATAATTTCAGGAGTTGGTCACAGTTGAGTGGGTTTGGGTTTCCTTAATTCAGCATTTTTTTCCACGTCCTGTATGATGAATATCAATTTGTCATATGATTCAATAACCATTGTCCATGGGTTTAGGTTCAGAGGGGGATCAAAACGGCTAGCATCGAATCATCTTACAGTAAAGTAAGAGGACCTTTTGTTCCTCCCCGAAGTTCTGAGGTTCAGACCTTTGTCGTAATCGCTACCGATACTTGGCTGTAAAGAACGTCATTCACCTTTTGTGATCAATGTATATGGCTTCATATATCTATATATACTGGACTTATTTTCTTTACTATTCTCAATATAATTCGATTCAATAATGCTAGTCATGTAACACCATGAGGCAGCTTTATCAGTTCAAGGTCTGCACTAATTAGAAAAGCGTTCTCCTGCGTAAAGAAAAAGGAATTATGGATTTATGTCTTGATGTAGAACTGTTTCTTTATATCGACATGTCTTGTGTGTAATAATTCTTCTCAGTATAATATACTATGAGGATTTATCAAACCGTATAGATACGTAGGTTATTGTTTGTATAGATTTCAAGTTTTAGAATGAGGTGGTAGATCATTTCGTAATTCATCATATGATCACGATTCTACTTCCTTATTATTGTTTTGTTCTATGAATCTATCCAATTTTTTTTGTTTGTTTCGAAAACGAAATTCATGATACAAATAAATCAGTTCAATAATATCCTACTATACCAATATGTAATGTAAAATATTGCGACACTGAGTTAAGTTTCGTAATGTGATTTTTTACTTTACCGCACTGGAGCGTCCAAATCACTGTTTTTTACTCCAAATACGAGAGAAATCTTGTCCGCCATCTTGGAGCAGCCATTTTGTTTAATTTCAACAAAAATTCCATAACCCTGATTAACTTGAAATTTGGCAGGTGTTCATAATTTCGGCGACAATACATTATGGAATTTTTGTTGAAATTGAAAAAAAATGGCTGCTCCAAGATGGCGGACAAGATTTAGTCCGATTCCATTCAAAATTGGTAAGTGGGGGTTTTTGAGGTCGGAGATCATGATTTTTTTGTTAAAATTTATAATTTCAAGATAGCGGCTTCCAAATAATTTTTTATTTTTGTATAAATGACGATAACTCCGTTGTTATCAACACAAAACTATTACTGCGACTTATCATCTGTAAGAGAAAAAAAAGTTATTCGTAACTAAGTCAAAGTGAGCTATATGACCTACATTTGATAAACTAAAGTTGGTGCTGATATCTAAAATTCTAGAAGAGTTGGTATAAATTACATTTTTTTTTTTGGAATCACTTTGAAAAACTGCCATGAGAATGTGAAATTCCTATTTGAATATTTTCATAAATAAAGAAGTTACGGAGGAGACATGAAAATGATCAAAATATGTTTTTTGCGTATAAAACAAAAACGAATAGATTTCATCAAAATATTTTGTCATATTATAGTTGGCCTTGACAAACTCCACATTTGGTGTCATTTAACCGACCTCGTATCTCTCACCGTTAAAAAGGTACCCATGGTGAGCATGGTAAGTGGGACACACTGTATATCTACTATTGTTCAAGTATTTCTCTTGAAAAATCTACTGTGTTAGAGAAACATGTGTGCAAAGGATTTTGTGGAAATTGTCTTGTTTGTGAAGTCTTCTACATTCAACATAATTGTGTGATAATTTAGTTATGACATTGAACCGGAAAATAACGATATTCTGTAGGCAATAATATATGAATGTTGTTTTAAATGAATGTTGATCATAAATTGACTACTTATGAAGATTATAAAATATTATGTTTTGAAACTACTGACGGCCAAAGAAAGTGGACTAACATAATATGAAATACTGTCTGTAACAGAGGAGGTTATAGGTATTCATTGTTCCAGATTTTTTGGGATTATGTCTCCTCGTTTGTATATGATATAAAAATATAAGAAACTCAGAACAGTGGGCCGGTTTCAGTGAAAGATTTTATTTTATTATTCCGTAGTTCTAAAACCCTCACTAGTTCACATGAATATTCATTGAAATTCACGATATTTCATGACACGAAAAAGTCGGGAGAACGCGTGACGTACTCATCCGAGAACACTATATAAGATTGGACTTACGTATCACATCTCTATTTCTGATAGACAAGTGCGAGAATATTTCGGATTGTCATTTCAATCAGAATATGGAATGAATATTCTGTATTGAATACTTACTTCAGATAACAGAGGACACAACACACAACAAAGAATCAGATTATGAGGATTAACATTGAAAATTCGCATCTAGACCAGATGAAACAAGAATCTGACGATGAAGGTGACAGCAGATATCAACATTATAGGAAGTTAGGTTGACAATGAAGTTTTTCTACAAACGCTTTACAAAGTAGTCTCTGACGCTTTCAAATTCCAACACAAAGTTGACGTTTTCCCAGAAATGTCATTCTTTGACAGCATTTGCGCTCGTGAGCGGAAATTTTGAAAAAACGCTCGCACATCTCTGTTCCCCGAGGCATATAACCTCCAGAAATTTTAGAAGAACACCAATTCCTACCTTATTTTCCTTGGTTCTCACGATGTTCTCTGAACATTACAGGATATCCCTTTTCGTGGGAACCAGAACATAAAAAAAATATATTCTTGAAAACCCCCAATTCTTTCATGATGGAAAATAGTGACAGTGAACTATCAAACACACCTCCTGATATAGCAGGAAGCGCAAAAGTTTGAATCTCTCACCGGAGAAATCAAGGAAGAAATATGAATTACAATACCATACATTCATAAATTGGTGCCACTCCGAGAAGATGAATAAGTATTCAGAAAACGTTTTGCTGGCTTATTTTGGTGAAGACTTTGAAGTCATCAACTCATTGGTCTTTATATATTCGATGGTACGTATACATGCTTGAATGTTAAAAATAATATCGAAATCAATAAGTATCCGAAACTTATCGCATTTCTCAAGAAACAATCTATTGGATATAAAGCGAAAAAAATCCAGAACATTCACCGCTGAAGATATATACCAACAAATTTTCACAAGAAGCTCCCAATGAAGAATATCTGTTAAAAAAGGTAAATTATACTTCATATTTAAACTCATTGTCATCATCAGAAAGACAGTGTATCTTTATTTTATTGCATTAATGAGTCATGTTCAATTTGATTGCAGAGTTTATTGTACCATGGCTCAGAGGTGTGAAGCTCAGGTTGCCACGCTGGTGGTTCAATTTCAATTCTTGGTAGGTCCGACATTTTTTTCAAACCTTGTTAGTTATTTTAAGTTTATTTTGTTTCGTTAGGACATATTGGATAATTATAGATAAGAACTATTTCCATCGCTCATACTTTCAGGGCAGTCATTTCCAAAAGCTACGTTTGTAGAAAAAATCTTGTGTGTATTTCGAGCACAAAGTGCCATTGCCGCTCCCCAAAGATTACCGCGCTCCGCTCCGCATCGCGCGATAACTTTCTTTGTCGAGCGGCAATCTATCACTTTGCGCTCTAAATACACAAATAGCTATTGTCTTCTTTTTTTTTGTATTTCTGGGAAATTAAGTATAATACTGTTGCCCGTGCCACAAGATGATTTGTGATTTATTTAAATCTCGATAATTATCAGGAATAGTAGGATATTTTTATTGGTACTGAAGCATCTTACAAGTATATAAGTATTCAAAAGGTGATTATTAGGGACCAGGTCGGACTACCGTCTTCTGTGAATGTGATGACTACAGTCATTGGTCATATTGAATCTCATAAGATAATTACTAGTTACAAATCTGGCATTGTCGATATATGTGGTCCTACCTTTCATGCGAAAGCCAGAAGTCGGTTCGTGACGTCATCAAATCTGGCGTTTTTCAAAGTAGCCGAAGAATTTAATTGATGAAAGAATATATTCGGGATGATCTGCTGTCAACTCACTCTCCTCGCGGACCAGGGTTGCCAGTTCGGTTTTTATTTTATCAGTGAATAACTTGTCAAAAATATTCACATCTATTTTATGCTATACGAATTATAATGAAGGAGAATGAAATAAGCCTATGACGTCAAAACGTTATGTACTTTACAACAAAATAGAAACAATCAAAACAAAAATCCTCATGAAAAATAATCATATTTCTAATTCCCGATTTGAAAATACTCTCAAATATAACAAAATACATCCACAATGGTACTTATAAGATTTGAGTATATAAAAAACGAATAGTGAAAATGAACGACAACAATACAAAACAAATGAAAATATTGAAGGTGAGAAACAAACTGTTATGACAGAGGTATATGTAAAATCGAAATCGATCTGAATCAGATGAAGTGTTGTCCTCTTTTGGTTTATACATATCATTAATACCTATATGTAAATTCATTACTCATTTTGTACAATTGATTTAAAGAGAACATGCCGAAATATCATGCAATTCATAGGTTTATTTGATTTACTGAAGATTAATAATATAGGTGATTATAATGATGAATAGTAGATCAGTAGATCAATATGCAAACCAGGAGATCTACCGAAAACTCAGTAGAAACTGTAGAACTGGCAACCCTGTAGCGGACGAAAAGTGTTTGCGGACGAAAAGTTAGTTTTGCCGAACGAAATGTACTTGCCTTCAGAAAAAGTATTTTTCAAATTGTTCATATTCAATGAATCTAAATTATTCGCTTCGAAACAGTTAAAAAAAACTTACATGCTAGAATTCTCTTCATCCCAGGCCAATATCCTAGTGAGTTCGAAAGCTCCATGTGTCAAAGGTCTCACTCTGTTATTGTGGATTTCACAGACATGCATGAAATGGCCTTTATCTCCATCCTTCACTGGTAAACGTACCAAAACCTTAGTTCCATTAGTGTTGAAAACAGGATGGAAGATTGGTTCTGTCCAACCGATGTGCTCGTTTTCAATATGCAACTATAAAAAAGTATTTTTTCTAGAATCATCATCGATATCAGATCTAATATTTGTGGAAATGACTTCAAGTTCTGTAGATATGTAATATTGAAGATCATATATATATATATATATATTGATGCCTGTTAAGTTGTGACTTCCGATCTGTGGAAGAGGCGACCTGACATCCGGGTCTAATCGACTATATATTTAGATGAAAACTTCATATATGGGTTGAGGGGGACTTGTAGAATACGGTTTCCATAAGAGGGGAAAGAATTTCTCAATTTTAATTTCGTATATATATATTATCATACAAGATACGTTATAACTTCCAAAATAGTCATGATGCTAACTTTATCACTTCCGATATATGCTCGGAAGTGACATCGTAGCTTCCATCTACGACTACGGATGTGAATGCTGAACTCCTAATTTTATTCACATTCATTGCGATGAACTAATTTTAATTTTCATGGATTTCAGTCTATCATCTGATGAATCTGGAATGATGAGGATATGGGAGTATGGAAAAATGAAAGGATGAGAGGATGAGAGGACGAAAGGATAGGAGGATGGAAAAATTGAAGGTTGGCAGGATGAAAAGATGGAAGAATGAGAGGATGGAAGGATGAAAGGATGATAGGATGAAAGGATGGAAAAATGAGAGGATGAATAGATGAAAAAATGAAAATATGAAAGGATGAACGCATAAAGTATAAAAAGATGATAGGATGAATGGATGGAGGGATAAAAAGATGATAGGGAAGGATGAAAGGATGAAAGGAAGAAATGATGGAAGGATGAAAGAATGAGAGGATGAAAGAATGAGAGGATGAAAGGATGAAAAGATGAAAGGATGGAAAGATGAAAAGATGAGAGGATGGAAAAATGAAATGATAATGGGATGAAAAAATTGAAAGATGAAAGGAAAAGAAGATGATAGAATTGGAGGATGAAAGAATGGAAGAATGGAAGGATGGAAGGATGGAAGGATGGAAGGATGGAAGGATAGAAGGATGGGAGGATGGAAGGATGGAAGGATGGAAGGATGGAGGGATGGAAGGATGGAAGGATGGAAGGATGGAAGGATGGAAGGATGGAAGGATGGAAGGATGGAAGGATGGAAGGATGGAAGGATGGAAGGATGGAAGGATGGAAGGATGGAAGGATGGAAGGATGGAAGGATGGAAGGATGGAAGGATGGAAGGATGGAAGGATGGAAGGATGGAAGGATGGAAGGATGGAAGGATGGAAGGATGGAAGGATGGAAGGATGGAAGGATGGAAGGATGGAAGGATGGAAGGATGGAAGGATGGAAGGATGGAAGGATGGAAGGATGGAAGGATGGAAGGATGGAAGGATGGAAGGATGGAAGGATGGAAGGATGGAAGGATGGAAGGATGGAAGGATGGAAGGATGGAAGGATGGAAGGATGGAAGGATGGAAGGATGGAAGGATGGAAGGATGGAAGGATGGAAGGATGGAAGGATGGAAGGATGGAAGGATGGAAGGATGGAAGGATGGAAGGATGGAAGGATGGAAGGATGGAAGGATGGAAGGATGGAAGGATGGAAGGATGGAAGGATGGAAGGATGGAAGGATGGAAGGATGGAAGGATGGAAGGATGGAAGGATGGAAGGATGGAAGGATGGAAGGATGGAAGGATGGAAGGATGGAAGGATGGAAGGATGGAAGGATGGAAGGATGGAAGGATGGAAGGATGGAAGGATGGAAGGATGGAAGGATGGAAGGATGGAAGGATGGAAGGATGGAAGGATGGAAGGATGGAAGGATGGAAGGATGGAAGGATGGAAGGATGGAAGGATGGAAGGATGGAAGGATGGAAGGATGGAAGGATGGAAGGATGGAAGGATGGAAGGATGGAAGGATGGAAGGATGGAAGGATGGAAGGATGGAAGGATGGAAGGATGGAAGGATGGAAGGATGGAAGGATGGAAGGATGGAAGGATGGAAGGATGGAAGGATGGAAGGATGGAAGGATGGAAGGATGGAAGGATGGAAGGATGGAAGGATGGAAGGATGGAAGGATGGAAGGATGGAAGGATGGAAGGATGGAAGGATGGAAGGATGGAAGGATGGAAGGATGGAAGGATGGAAGGATGGAAGGATGGAAGGATGGAAGGATGGAAGGATGGAAGGATGGAAGGATGGAAGGATGGAAGGATGGAAGGATGGAAGGATGGAAGGATGGAAGGATGGAAGGATGGAAGGATGGAAGGATGGAAGGATGGAAGGATGGAAGGATGGAAGGATGGAAGGATGGAAGGATGGAAGGATGGAAGGATGGAAGGATGGAAGGATGGAAGGATGGAAGGATGGAAGGATGGAAGGATGGAAGGATGGAAGGATGGAAGGATGGAAGGATGGAAGGATGGAAGGATGAAGGATGGAAGGATGGAAGGATGGAAGGATGGAAGGATGGAAGGATGGAAGGATGGAAGGATGGAAGGATGGAAGGATGGAAGGATGGAAGGATGGAAGGATGGAAGGATGGAAGGATGGAAGGATGGAAGGATGGAAGGATGGAAGGATGGAAGGATGGAAGGATGGAAGGATGGAAGGATGGAAGGATGGAAGGATGGAAGGATGGAAGGATGGAAGGATGGAAGGATGGAAGGATGGAAGGATGGAAGGATGGAAGGATGGAAGGATGGAAGGATGGAAGGATGGAAGGATGGAAGGATGGAAGGATGGAAGGATGGAAGGATGGAAGGATGGAAGGATGGAAGGATGGAAGGATGGAAGGATGGAAGGATGGAAGGATGGAAGGATGGAAGGATGGAAGGATGGAAGGATGGAAGGATGGAAGGATGGAAGGATGGAAGGATGGAAGGATGGAAGGATGGAAGGATGGAAGGATGGAAGGATGGAAGGATGGAAGGATGGAAGGATGGAAGGATGGAAGGATGGAAGGATGGAAGGATGGAAGGATGGAAGGATGGAAGGATGGAAGGATGGAAGGATGGAAGGATGGAAGGATGGAAGATGGAAGGATGGAAGGATGGAAGGATGGAAGGATGGAAGGATGGAAGGATGGAAGGATGGAAGGATGGAAGGATGGAAGGATGGAAGGATGGAAGGATGGAAGGATGGAAGGATGGAAGGATGGAAGGATGGAAGGATGGAAGGATGGAAGGATGGAAGGATGGAAGGATGGAAGGATGGAAGGATGGAAGGATGGAAGGATGGAAGGATGGAAGGATGGAAGGATGGAAGGATGGAAGGATGGAAGGATGGAAGGATGGAAGGATGGAAGGATGGAAGGATGGAAGGATGGAAGGATGGAAGGATGGAAGGATGGAAGGATGGAAGGATGGAAGGATGGAAGGATGGAAGGATGGAAGGATGGAAGGATGGAAGGATGGAAGGATGGAAGGATGGAAGGATGGAAGGATGGAAGGATGGAAGGATGGAAGGATGGAAGGATGGAAGGATGGAAGGATGGAAGGATGGAAGGATGGAAGGATGGAAGGATGGAAGGATGGAAGGATGGAAGGATGGAAGGATGGAAGGATGGAAGGATGGAAGGATGGAAGGATGGAAGGATGGAAGGATGGAAGGATGGAAGGATGGAAGGATGGAAGGATGGAAGGATGGAAGGATGGAAGAGGATGGAAGGATGGAAGGATGGAAGGATGGAAGGATGGAAGGATGGAAGGATGGAAGGATGGAAGGATGGAAGGATGGAAGGATGGAAGGATGGAAGGATGGAAGGATGGAAGGATGGAAGGATGGAAGGATGGAAGGATGGAAGGATGGAAGGATGGAAGGATGGAAGGATGGAAGGATGGAAGGATGGAAGGATGGAAGGATGGAAGGATGGAAGGATGGAAGGATGGAAGGATGGAAGGATGGAAGGATGGAAGGATGGAAGGATGGAAGGATGGAAGGATGGAAGGATGGAAGGATGGAAGGATGGAAGGATGGAAGGATGGAAGGATGGAAGGATGGAAGGATGGAAGGATGGAAGGATGGAAGGATGGAAGGATGGAAGGATGGAAGGATGGAAGGATGGAAGGATGGAAGGATGGAAGGATGGAAGGATGGAAGGATGGAAGGATGGAAGGATGGAAGGATGGAAGGATGGAAGGATGGAAGGATGGAAGGATGGAAGGATGGAAGGATGGAAGGATGGAAGGATGGAAGGATGGAAGGATGGAAGGATGGAAGGATGGAAGGATGGAAGGATGGAAGGATGGAAGGATGGAAGGATGGAAGGATGGAAGGATGGAAGGATGGAAGGATGGAAGGATGGAAGGATGGAAGGATGGAAGGATGGAAGGATGGAAGGATGGAAGGATGGAAGGATGGAAGGATGGAAGGATGGAAGGATGGAAGGATGGAAGGATGGAAGGATGGAAGGATGGAAGGATGGAAGGATGGAAGGATGGAAGGATGGAAGGATGGAAGGATGGAAGGATGGAAGGATGGAAGGATGGAAGGATGGAAGGATGGAAGGATGGAAGGATGGAAGGATGGAAGGATGGAAGGATGGAAGGATGGAAGGATGGAAGGATGGAAGGATGGAAGGATGGAAGGATGGAAGGATGGAAGGATGGAAGGATGGAAGGATGGAAGGATGGAAGGATGGAAGGATGGAAGGATGGAAGGATGGAAGGATGGAAGGATGGAAGGATGGAAGGATGGAAGGATGGAAGGATGGAAGGATGGAAGGATGGAAGGATGGAAGGATGGAAGGATGGAAGGATGGAAGGATGGAAGGATGGAAGGATGGAAGGATGGAAGGATGGAAGGATGGAAGGATGGAAGGATGGAAGGATGGAAGGATGGAAGGATGGAAGGATGGAAGGATGGAAGGATGGAAGGATGGAAGGATGGAAGGATGGAAGGATGGAAGGATGGAAGGATGGAAGGATGGAAGGATGGAAGGATGGAAGGATGGAAGGATGGAAGGATGGAAGGATGGAAGGATGGAAGGATGGAAGGATGGAAGGATGGAAGGATGGAAGGATGGAAGGATGGAAGGATGGAAGGAT